CCACAGGGTTTCCAAGGCTGTCAGTCTTTACAGAAGCAAAGCCCAAACCACACCCACTGCTGTGGAGTCGATTCTGACTCACAGCGCCCCTAGAGGACAGAGTGGAACTGCCCCGAGGGTTTCCCAGGCTGTCATCTTTATGGGAGGAGCCTGCCGGGTCTTTCTCTCACAGAGCCACTGGGTGGGTTCGAATCACCAACATTTTTGGTTAGCAGCCAAGTGTTCAACTGTTGCACCACTGGGCTCCTTAAGGTCAGAAGGATGGCTAGGGTGAGTCATATTACTATGCTGTCCCAATAAATATTTTTCTACAACCTTTTTTTCAACACTCTTTTTATGCTATTTTGTATCCACTTGACAAATATTAACCAGTTTGAGCTGTTTAAACATGAGATTAAGGATGTACACATTAAGAAATCCCAAGCTAATTTACATGTTAGTTCCTTCCCCAGAGACTCCTCCCACACAAATGCGACCAATGAGTCAAAAAGAAGGCGCTGACAGAAGGTAACACAGAATCCACTTCTTTGCCATGAACACAGTTATGCCCTTCACACTACTGGGCCTTATTTTGCTATAAGTTACGTAGAAAAGGAAAAATATAATAATTGAAATGTCAAAGGAGTGGTATTCTCAATTCTCCAAATGGCACAAAGGGAAGGAAGGGTCACATAGTTTGCTGTGGAACTGTACTGTCCGTGTGCAACCAAGTGAAACACCGCCTGGGCCCACTGCTGCGCCACCAGGCATCCCGAGTGCCTTCCAAGCGACGGGCTCCTCTTCCAATGTTTTATCCGACAATGGTCTGCTGTCATCCACAGGGCTTTTGCCGGCTGATTTTTGGATGGAGATGGCCAGGCCTTACTTTCTACTCTCAGTCTGGACGCTCCACATGCAACCTGTCCGCCACAGGTGACCTTGCTGGTATTGGACACAGTGGTGGCCCCACCTCCAGCCTCACAGCAACACATGACCCACCACAGCACAGCACTGACGGGTGCGTGGTGGCCTACGGTTTTGAGTCTTGTAATTACGATCTGTGAAAACATTACGCCTCTTCCTGCATCTCCCCCCCCATATGGTTAACTCCCAAGATAAACACTATGAAAGATTAACCATGATTTATTACTGCTGCCTTTCAAAGCCTGCTCACTAAATCCCAATTCTACATTCTGCCAATTCTAACAACACTAACCTTTGAAGAAGAGTGACCATGTGAAACTGCAGTCGGAAATGCTATTTTGGAATCACCCATGAGAGTCAAGCTCTGAGACACCAACAAACAAAGAAGAGCAGCCTCCACCTCTTAGCTCTGGCAGCGGAGCTGAGGGCATAGTGGCGGTGCCCTAAGGGTGCCGGCACCATCAAGTGCAGACACGCGCTTGAGCCAAGATGCCCTCCCCTCGCCGGACGGGAGGAAGGATGCTGGAAGAAGCCTGGTCCTGAAGATGCCTGTCTGACTCCCTTGGCTAGCCGACTGGAAGCAGACGACTACGGGGCGGACCAGGATTTCCTGTGCAGTGGGCTGGGTCTCCCCTTCACAGGAGCAAAGAGCTCATCCCGAATTCCTGAAGGGCAGAATCAGCACTGGGGACCACAGCAGTTGAAGTAAGAACTTCTTTTTCTCTTTTTTGTCGGTCAAGTTTTCAGTACACTTCCCACACTGAAACCCAGTTCAGTTGAGCGTATGATTAGAAAAAGCAGCAGAGAGAAGGAGGTGGTACACAATTTTCAAAGTAGGTCTTTCCACAGTAGACTGAGAGTGTCATTTGGCAGGCCTCTGAGGAGGGAGAGAGGAGCTGGTGTGGGCAAGCAGCCAGAGCTAAGCTGGAATCCGCCATGGACTCACTGGACAGACAGATGTAAGCTGGAGTTCTCCATGGGCTCGTTGGGCAGACAGATCTAGGCTGGAGTTCTCCATAGGCTCGTTGGGCAGACAGATGTAAGCTGGAGTCTGCCACAGGCTTGTTGGGCAGACAGATCTAAGCTGGAGTTCTCCATGGGCTCGTTGGGCAGACAGATCTAAGGGTGAGTCCACTATGGGTTTGCTGGGCAACCACGCAAAGGTTACTCAGCACCACGACCCTCCATTTCCTGTCTGAAGGACAATGGTGATGCCCACCTTGTGTGGTTACCGTAAAGATGGAGGGGAATCATCTGTTACCTACTTAGCCAACTGCTGCCATGAGTGATTCAGACTCACGGTGACAGATGTGTCCTGCAGTGGGACTGCTCCAAGGGTTTTCCTGGCTGCAATCTTTATGGAAGCACAACTCCAGGCCTCTCTTCCGAGGTCTACTGGGTAGACCTCAACTGCTAGCCTTGAGATTAGTTGTCACCAACTGCAAAACCAAACTCACTGCCATTAAGTCACTTCCAACTCATAGCCACCCTCACTGGGTTACAGAGGCTGTACATCTTTACGGTAGCAGATTGCCCCATCTTTCTTCCACGAAGCGGCTGACGGGTTTGAACCGCAGACCTTCTGGTTAGCAGCCAATGCTTTATCAACCATGCCACCAGAGCTCCTTTGCCATCAATTCAAACAAACAAACAAACAAACAAACTCACTGCCATCAAGTTGATTCTGACTCATAATGACCCTCCCCCTTTGGGTTTCCGAGGCAGTAAATCTTTATGGAGTAGATTGCCCAGTCTTCCCTCCATGGAGTGGCTGGTGGGTTTGAACCACCAATCTCTTGGTTAGCAGTCAAATGCCTTAGGTACTACACCACCAGAGCTCCTGCCATCAACTCAAAAAACCAAAACCAAACTCTCTGCTGGGGAGATGGATCCAACTCATAGTGACCACTCCTTGGGTTTCCGAGGCAGTATCACTAAGGAAGTAGATTGCTCAACCTTCCTTCTGAGGAGTGACTGGTGGGTTTGAACTGCCAACCTTCTGGTTAGCAGTCAAGTGCCTTAGGCACTATGCTACCAGAGCTCCCCCTGCCATCAACTAGCACAAAGTAAATACTCAACACACTGCTATGACGATTATCACTAACACCAGCTCTGAACATATGCTCACTGTGTGACATGAACCATCATAATGTGATAAAAGTGGTTGGTAGCTCCTGTGCCGTGGCACACACCACTGTGAGGACAAGGATGTTTGCTTTGTCGGGCCTGACTCCGTATTGTCAGGCTCACATTCCCTCTTGACTTCAGTCTCATCCCTGTGCTATTTATTAACTCGTTTCCTGTGAATGACAACCAGCGGTTCTGGCTGTGTCCTGTAAGACGTGACCACTGATGTCAGCAGACAGTGACGAGCCTTGTGATGATGGTAATCACTGGTGCCATCTCCAAGAAGGAAGACCAGCCTCGCTGGGTGTGCCAGGAATTGACAGAGAACACTCTACTATCGTTCATCACTTTGTGGACATGCTGTATCTACTCCGTGTTTGGTGTGAGTACCCCTCTTTGGAAACACACAATGGAGCAGACCACTTTGAAGTCATTAAGACCCTGTCCATCTCTTGGTGCTGCACCTCCTCCTGAAACCCCCTTTACCTCCTTGAACTCTGGTGTGGATTATTGGCTGCATCGTGCCAGGGCACGAACCCCATCGATTTTCAGGTTACACCATCTCATTTAATCCTTGCTGTAATCCCATGGTTACCAGTATCCAAACCAAAACAACAACAACAACAACAACAACAAAAACCAAACTCACTGCAATTGAGTCAATTTGACTCATAGTGACCCCTCCTTGGGTTTCCGAGGTAGTATTTCTATGGAAGTAGCCTGCCCAGACTTCCTTCTGAGGAGCGGCTGGTGGGTTTGAGCCACCGGCCTTCTGGTTAGCAGTCACATGCCTTAGGCACTACGCCACCAGAGCTCCCTACCATTATCCATAGTTTACAAATGAGGAAGCGGAGAGCGTCTGAACGTCTAGGTTACAGTCAAGGTAACACAGAAGCAGTGACTGGGCTGGGACCTGCAAGCCTGTGTTCTTACTCGCCATGGTCTATCACTGCTTCAAAATAACAGATACAATTTACTGAGATCCGACTATGAGCTAGGTGCTAAGACACAACACGTCTACCTCTGCAACAGCTGTCAGCCCCGTTGTTACCTTCATTTTATAGAAGCCAAGATGAGTAAACTATTTCCAAGGCCACCCAGTTAATAAAGGGCATGATCTGAATTCGACCCGGCCGGGTCTGTCTGGTTCAAGAGTTGCGGTGTAGGGAATTACTTGGTCTGGCTTTTTTAGCCTAGTCTTTGTAACTCCCATTGGGTTACTGGGTAGGACCACGCAAATAGTGTGTAGAACTCTGCTGTTGGGATTGGTTAGTTTTGTCACTCTGCCAGGCTTAAAATGAGCCCTCCTAGAGGCAGAGGGAGCATCTCACTGCCGTCAGGAGAGAAGAACTGGAGTGAAGTAAGGTGTGTCCTTGGCCCCCAGATCCCTCAATGCACCTCGCCAGCAGAGAGAGGCCCTGACAGAGAGAGACGGTTGCAGTGGAACCAAGGGGCATGAGACAGAGTGGCGGGCTCACGTGGCCCACAGAGTGCGAAAGCTGAGTGCCCTTGGGGAGGCAGCTTGCCAGCAGAGAGGGGTGCACCTAGGTGTTCTATGGGCAGAGCTAAAAGAGCTCTGTAACAGTTGCCCGAGCAGGGCGGAGGCCAGGCCGAGTGGCCAAGGGCAGAGACGCGAGTCTGAGGGCACAGCAGAGGGGAGACTGTCCTGATCGAAAAACTGCATCCAGAGCGCGTTCCTCACCTGGTTTGTAGCCTGTTGCTTCCCTAATCGGCCCCATAATCGTGAGCATTGTCTGTGAGTTCTGTGCGGCCACTGCAACGAATGGAAATCAGCAGTGAAGTGTGAATGGCGTGGGAGGGACGGCTGGTGTCCGATTGGTAATAAGCTGGAGGGGGGCGGCATGTCTGGCCTCACAGGAATCAGCCTTGGGCTGCTGCTGGTGACTCTATTCTCCTTTTGTGAAGTTAGAGGAGGTGAGAAGATGCCACCTCCTTGCCCATTTCGCAAGAGTCTAAACCCTTTCTCCCACGTTGCTGTCAGTGCCTTCCAATGCCGGCAACGCTCTGTGTCCACATGTGCCCCCAGGTACAAGGAAGCTCAGCGTTTGCCCACTGCCTCACAGTCTCTGACGCCCAGCCTGTGCCCCCGCCAGCGCTGGCTGCGCCTGCCGTACCTGATAGTCTGAGGTCATGATCAGCCCGCCTGAGGTAGTGGTAGGAGGAACAACTCTCACTTTCTTTAACGGGGGTCCCTGGGCGTGGCCGCTGTCCTGATTCCCTGGGTGACCGGTTCCGTTCGTGTGGTTATTGCCCTGCTGCTGCGGCTGCTGGTTCTTCTCAATGGGGTCAACAGAGAAACAAGGCTCAACTCAGACAGAGAACCAAACACCAACCCGGGAGACGCTGCGAAGTGTGTGGCAGGCAAGAGCCCGCCGGCGCTATTTTAATACTTACTTTGTCTCCTTTGTCGTCGGGTTCTTCTTCTGTTAAAAATTCACGTTTTGGGTAAGGGATCTGACAACCGGCAAAAACGCTGATCAGAAGAGAGAAAGAGAGAATGATTTCTGGCGTACTAGCCAATATTTACAGGAGCCCTTGGGGTGCTGCGGTTAAAGCATTTGGCTGCTAACCCAAAGGTCAGTGGTTCGAACCCACCAGCCACTCTGTGGAAGAAAGATCATGCAGTCTGCTTCCATGAAGACAGCCTTGGAAACCCCGTGGGGCAGTCCCACGCTGTCCTCTAGGGCAACTGTAAGTCAGAATCGACTTGAGAGCAGTTGGTTTGGAATTTTGGTTTAGCCAGTATTTCAAATGTTCATTTCAGGTGTTTTCATTTTAATCTTTTAAGATGGACTTCGTCTCTCTGTGCAAATATGAGCACCTTTCATATGAGCTCAATGAGACGACTCTTCTCCTAAATGGTGACAGGCCAGCGACCAGCAGCGGGCCTGTCATCGCACACTACTCAGTAGTTGTCTATTGTGACTCAACTTCCTTTCTGGATTCCACCATTCCTGTTATTACTGGAACCAAAATGTAAGTTCTGGCTGAAGGTGTGTTGCTGCCCAAAGACAATTTCTGTTATACCCTATCTACTATATTTACAACAAAAGATGGTATGGGGACCATGAACACATCTGGGAGTGGTGCCTGCCATTCTGGACACAAGACTGTAACTGTGGTGTCAGCCACTGTCTGGGAGGACCTATGTCACCAGCCTGCCACTGAGCAACTAGGTTAGTGCTAGTCCCAGCAGGACCTAAGGTTCATGAAGTAAAAGATGGACAAGCACACCTCTTCACTGAGAACCCCAGAGGACACTTCAGTGGTCAGAACTCAGTCTGGTTTGTCCTAAGGACTCCCTTGGGAGGAGTGGCCACTTGGAGCTGACAACCAATCCAGAGCATGCTCCGGAAGGTTCTATTCTGCTGGTGAGTTAATGATTGGTCACTTACTCTGATGTAGGAAGTGGGTCTTCCAAGAAGTAGGGATCCTGCATAGCCTGTTCTGAGGTAATCCGCTTTATTGGGTCCATGGTAAGCAACTTCTGAAGCTGAAACCAGAAACCACACAGACGTTATCACACCACTGCTCGTGCCCAGCCCAGCACATTGAGAAGAGGTACGTGGTTTGGACGCATGGTGCCACAACTGATTCCCCAAAAGCAACACAAATACTGGATTATTAAGTTCAGCGTAGCAATTCACATATTGGTCACTTTAAATATTTGGATCTCACTTGATTCTCACACAAGTAGGAACTCAGTTTTGTCTTCTTACTCCAGACCCAACGTCTTTTCCCTCCATTATTTAAATGGCTTTATCCAGTATGGACCAGGCCTGAAACCTCATATCTTCTACTAAGAGGGAAAATGGTAGTAGCACAAATACTATGCTAGCCCCAAGGGGCTATTTCCATTTCAACTTGAATTAAATAAAAAATCCACTTCCTAGTCACCAAGAAACAAAACCAAACCCACTGCCATTGAGTCGATTCCGACTTATAGCGAACCCTATTGGGTTTCCAAGGCTTTAAATCTTTACGGAGGTAGATTGCCTCATCTTTCTCTCGCAGAGCGGCTGACAGTTTTGAACCAGACCGTGTTCAGCAGTAATGCCTTATCCGTTGCGTCACCACACTAGGTTACATTTCAAGGGCTCAAGAGCTACCTTTGGGCAGTGGCTGCCCTGTTTGGCAGCACAGATACAGAACGGTTCTGTCATCAGAGAAGTTGTGCCACTGGACAAGGGCTGCATGAGTCTAGACAAATACGTCAAGTTCAGAGCTGTGGGTGTGAGCAGAGATATTGGAGGGAGGCTGCTTGGGTTCAAATCCTGACCCCACGTTTCTCAGCTGAGTGACCATGGACTTAAAACTCTATGCAACTCTGTCTGTCAAATGGAGACTGAAAATAGTACCTACTATCCCAGGCCTGATTTCGGGATTAAGTTCGTGATTCACATCAAAGGGGCATTGTGCCTGGCACCAAGAAAATACCACACAGTTAGTTGCTGTTGTTATTGCCACATGTAGAAACGTCACAGTGATGTGAGAATTCAGTAATTTTTCATTAGAACATAGTTCATTAAAGGCTCCATGAAGTGTACCTGGTTTTATTATGTGGTTGAAGCGATTACGGGCAGTCCCCAGGGTTAGCACGAGAGGAGTTCCTCACTGCGTCTCTAACGATGTGTAGGTCAGTCAGCATGCTGGTTCTTTCGTAGCCCTACTTTAGTGCAAGAAAAGGCTCGGAGCCCCTTTGATGACGTCAAAGCTGCACATGTAGTAAGTGGAGGTTAATTTGATGAAGAATTTGTTGTGAAAAGGGGTTGGTTCAATGGTTTCATGGTGAGGGCAAATGTGCATAAACGTTAAATGGATTCTGAGTCAAAACAGCCCAGCTGTACTAAAAGATGGCAGCCGACAGCACCACTTTGAATGTGTGTGGCTCTCCAGGGTTCCGTCAATAATCCAACGTCCTGCATCAGCCTCCTAAGAGGGCTCACTACACTCTTCCAGGTCTCCCACTCCAGGGCTTCAACTTGTCATTTTTCCTGTTCAGGTAACTGTGCCAAATCACCCAAATTGTGAAGACTCAGTCTGTTCTGCTTCACTCCACCGGCCAGGACAGGACTGGTGCAAAACTGTTCAAGGTCCTGCTTAGAGGGCAAGGAAGAGCTGTCCTAAGTCAGACGTCTGCAACCTGGGGACTGCCTGTATCTAACAGTGCAGTCTCTTAGCTTTTACTTTCTGATCTGCTGCAGCGGTTTAGTTGCTAATCAAAAGGTTCAAACCCACCAGCAGCTCCAAAGGAGAAAAATGAGGCAGTGTGCTTCCATAAAGATCGACAGCCTTGGAAACCCTCTGGTGCAGTTCCACTCTGTCCTCTAGGGGCGCTGAGTCAGAATCGACTCCATGGCAGTGGGTGTGGTTTGGGCTTTGCTTCTGTAAAGATTGAGAGCCTTGGAAACCCTGTGGGGCAGTTCCACTCTGTCCTCTAGGGGCGCTGAGTCAGAATCGACTCCATGGCAGTGGGTGTGGTTTGGGCTTTGCTTCTGTAAAGATTGAGAGCCTTGGAAACCCTGTGGGGCAGTTCCACTCTGTCCTCTAGGGGCGCTGTGAGTCAGAATCGACTCCATGGCAGTGGGTATGGTTTGGGCTTTGCTTCTGTAAAGATTGAGAGCCTTGGAAACCCTGTGGTGCAGTTCCACTCTGTCCTCTAGGGGCGCTGTGAGTCAGGATGGACTCCACAGCAGTGGGCAATGGGACAACGGTTCTCAAACTTCATCGTGTGTAGGAATTGCACGAGGGCCTGAGGATAGATGGCTTGGCCCTCTCAGTGTCTGACTGGCAGAATCTGCATTTCCAGCAAGTTCCCAGGTAATGCTATTTGCTGCTGGGCTGAGACCACATTTTGGAAACCAGTGAACTGATAAGACACACTGGTTAATGAGAGCTGGCAAATTTTAGATGGACAAAAAAGATCAAATATGTAAATAAAATTCTGAGATGATAAGAGTCAAACTGAACTTGGATGATCTTTCGGTGGATACATGACTTTAGGGTTAGGGTTGAGGAGAGAAGCCTGGGTTTCCTATATAAAATACCTAGCCATTTGAATGAACTTATAAGAGAGCTCTCAGATGGAAGCACCCAAGATTATCAGCAATTATGATAGGGCACCTCAGTACAGACCAGCAAATACGCTGCCAGGAAGAGGCATCATGGACATCTCAGTGGGGATGACAATGAGACTCTCCTCAGACTTTAAGGAGCAGCAGGAAATGGGGGGCACAAGAGTACTTCCCCTGAACTGTGACTTTTAAACTGCTGTGACTGTCTTATTTGCTCAGAATAATTAAGTTCCTGATTTGGAAGGATCTAATTTCACCTTCCACTTTGGATTCTGTTGTGTGCCTGTCGTCATAAACCATTATCTGGACAATGCATTGTGGTCATATGATAGGCTAAGAATTGCTTTTTAAACTGCTATAAGCTAGGAGATACATGATAAAACATAGGAGATGATGAAGTGATCACTGGAGGGCACAGCAGGAGGAGGAGAAGATGACACAGAAATAAGAGAACTGTGTGCCGAGCGGTGTGCAACAAAGAGAAGTCTAACCCTCCAGGCATCAGGTTCCCGTCTCGTGAATTCATTCTAAAACACTTTGCAATCAAGAACTGTGCAAAATTTAAGCCACGCAAAAACAGTCTGCTTCCCAAATTCCCGTTTTATATTTTATAAACCATTTTTTTGGGGGTGGGGAGACACATAAAACTGAAAAAGATTTTGCAACAACGGAGTGTAGCAGTGGGACTTGGGTAAGATCTGAGTGGCCACGAGTGGGCAACAGCTGGACATAAGCATGTCACCCAAGCCCTTGCTCTGCACAGTTTTAGACTCCAGGCTTCCACTGCATGGTGACAGAGGCCGCATCTCACACCCTCCCAGAAAAAGCAAGGGAGCCTCCAAGCCGCCACAGAAGCACTTCTGACGCCCTAGATTCTAAGAGGTATCTTGGGAGTTAAAAATGTTTGCAAGCAAAATTTCCAAGAGCTGGAATGCAAAATAACTGGTGGAAATACATTTTGTGAAATTTTTAGAATTGATGAAAAATAGTAAGTGTGATTTCCAAAATGCTCTCGGCAGTTTTGTTATGATTACAACCTTCAGAAAATCTGAGTGGCCCAGATGTCACTCAAAGTGTCAGATGGGTTCAGAAAAGCAAATATTCTGACGCCTAACCCAAGGATGCACTCAGAAAACACATGGTTCTCCCACCGGACCGCTCCAGCAGCTCTGAGTAACTGCAAAACCCGACCGCAGAGCGCCTCGGGTCGGGCTAGTCCGTGAGGGGGAACACATTTCGTTAGTGCCGTTAACTAAAGCTCACCAAGTGGAATGCTTTACTGTCTGGTTTGACTTTGTGTTTCTCCATATACTTGATAAGGCTGCAGTTGGTGTACCTGAAAGACAAATATTACGAAATATCTGTATTAGATTTAGGGTGAGCTTTACGTTGGCCAAAGTCCTTCCAAATAGAATTAGTCTGATTATGAGTGATAGAAAATACATATGAAAATGGGGGTCAGCATGAAAATGACTAGCGCTGAATCAATTCCGTACCCCATATGGTACCCACAGTCATAGCTTTGGGATGGATGTCACTGATTAAATGCAGGACACGTCCGTACAAAATTTTCTCAACAGTTGTTTTCACAATGAATTATCTCTTAAGATAGAATAATGGTCATATTTCAAATACATGGGCCAGAAGTATAACTCTGTCCTAATAGTAAGTTTAAAATACAGTAGTGATAGGTCTACGAACTCCTCCTCCCCAGTTCCCTGATGGGGCCCTGTTTTCATGTTTTATGAAATCTTCCTTGTTCTCGATTAACGGGCTTAAAATTAGTACAAGGTCTAGGTTTCAGTTTCTTATTTTTTCAGCTATGTTATTTTACACAAATGCCTAATATCTGCCTTCTAGGAGACTGTCATGATGTAAAATACTTACTACAGTAAATACATAAACTTACTGACTAGAAAAATCTGATACTGAGTATCCTATTGTGACACTGTTGTTGTTGTTATGTGTTGTCAAGTCGGACCTGACTCATGGAGACCCCTCCTTGGTTTCCGAGGCAGTATCACTACGGAGATTGCCCAACCTTCCTTCCAAGGAGTGGCTGGCGGGTTTGAACCGCCAGCATTCTGGTTAGCAGTCAAGTGCCTTAGGCACTATGCTACTTAGAAAAGCAAGAAAAAAAAAAAAAAACAAACAAACCAAAAAACAACTACTTTCTTTCAAACTTACGTATTTCTTCTGAAATCTTTCATTAACGTCGAATGTTCGGGCATCTTTTTGATGTCTTCCCAATCTTTATCTGTGAAACACATTTGTAAGTTTTGATGTTATCATCTAGGCTCTTGCTCTCAAGAATTTTAGTCAATGTTACCTTGCTTTTCATTACATTTTTATACTTTAAAACCTTCATGAAAACTCAGCCTTCCAATAAACGCTCAACCACAGTAACACCTTATCTTGAACCCTAAATCCTATTCTCCGTCCTCTGCAGAGCTTTGGTGTCTCTCTGGATCTTCTCAAGTTCAGCTGCCTACTTTCTACATGTTTTACTCTAAGCTGCCTCACTTTCTACAACTAGAGGGGAGTAAGTGACAAATACATTATAAATAAATATTTCTAAAATACCTTTTCCCACCAAATGTCTTGGTTGAATCAACAATCTACTCAATGGTAAATATAAGACCTTTTGCTTCAGTAGCTTGAAGACAAATTCTTTTTATGAGATGGCCCTCCTTACTTTCACCTTATTAAATACATCTAGTTATGTTACTATTCCACATGTTGTTGTTGTTGTTATGTGCCGTCGAGTCAGACCCGACTCATAGCGACCCCTCCTTGGGTTTCAGATGCAGCATCACTACGAAAGTAGATTGCACAACCTTTCTTCTGAGGAGTGGCTGGTGGGTTTGAACCGCCAGCCTTCTGGTTAGCAGTCAAGTTACTTAGGCACTATGCTACCAGAGCTCCTTATTCCATGTAAGTGGTACTAACTGTTTGAAGTAGAATAGGGTAGGACCTAACTAGTATATTCACAAGTCAGCTGGTACCTTGGCTCATTTCAACAGCATTTCCCAGAACAACCCCAGCGACTAAACAGGCAAGGCCCAAATGCTTTAGTGAGTCCTTGTGGCATTGGGGCCACTCCAACAATACATCCCAGGCACCTGGTTCCCCGCACTCCTGCCAGCTGGCTCCCATTGAGAGTGGACTGAGTGCACAGCGCTGTAATGGGTAGGTTCATATAGCATCCTGAAGCTTGTAAAGAGCTTTTGGAGACTTGCTTTTCATTCAACTTTCTGGTAAAAATACTTGCTATCTATATCTATGCTCCTGGGACCTCTGGTAGCGTAGTGCCTAAGGCACTTGACTGCTAACCAGAAGGCTGGCGGTTCAAACCCACCAGCCACTCCTCGGAAGGAAGGTTGGACAATCTACTTCCACGGTGATACTATCTGGGAAACCCAAGGAGGGGTCGCTATGAGTCAAGTCAAGTCAATGGCAGTGAATTTGGTTTGGGCTTTGCTTCCAGTAGGTGTGGTTTGGGCTTTGCTTCTGTGAAGATTGACAGCCTTGGAAACCCAAGGAGGGGTCGTGATGAGTCGGGCCCGACTCCATGGCACACAACAACAACAACAACCACCACCACCACCTATGCTCTACAGGTATCCCATCTTGTAAAGCAAATGTACTTCCACATTCCCACATGGATTTTCTTTTTCACCATCTCCATGCCCCCTCAATTTCTCAGGCTAGGAATCTTGAGATCATCTTTTACACTTTGCTCAGTTGCACATGTCCTAGACAAACGTTTACATCTGCCCTGTAGCCTCCATCCTGAGGTCGCCTAACACCTGGCTGGTGCTGGTCAAGCAGCGGCTTTCCTTGACTGCAGTCATCTTTCTTCAATTGGTTTTTGCATTCCAAAATGCCACACTCATTTTTTGTAAAGTACAACATAAATCACGTCACTTATACGCAACTGTGGGTTCTCATCAAATCTAAACCTGGCTGCCTGATTTTCAAGGTTCCGGAAAACTGCTGAACCCCATCAGGGATCTGGTCCTGTAAGGCCTCCCGATGCCCACCCTCTCCTAAGCCACGTTCCCTGTGCGCCTTTGCCATGGTGGCTGCATCCAGAAGTCTAAGGACGGGCCTGTCTCCGATCTCCTCCAGCCATCCTGACTCATGAGGGTTCTGCTTACAAGCAGCACAGTGTCACCTCCATGAGGGGCAGGTGCCATGCGTCTGATATACCGTCAATATTTTAACCAGAGCCTGACACTGGCAGGTACTCAGTAAATCGTGAATGAATGAGATTCCATCACTACTAGAGCTGTCTCCTCAGACCCACGGGCCAGTTCTGGAGAAAGGTCGGACCTCTGGAAGGTTGTTCTGCATTTACTCATTATTAACACCTTACAAAGGAAAGTGGGATCGATGTGGAGATCTGTGTCGGGCTCCAGTTCCAGCGACTGAGAACTGACCCCAGTAAGAGACAATTTCCAATAGGCACCTGGCTGGCCCAAATTATCACATTAACCAAATTCTCATTACCAGACCCCTTAGTAGATTGTTTGGTGGCCGAGGAGTACCTTTCTGGGGTATGGCTAGGGGTGGGGACACAGTGGGAGAGGTCCAACATCAGTGGTGAGACCCCTAAGCCATCCCTCCCTGCCGCAGAGCAGGTGAGCAGGCTTGTGGGGGTCCAGACGTTCACCCATGTTCTGACTGCTTCATGAACAATGTTCCTACTGATGAGCACATGTTATACAGCAGAAATGCTGCTGTTCTGTATAATTTGATTCTGTACAGTGTCCCCAGGTGGGAGATTCATAGCTACTCAATGTCATTCATGTTTTCTACTGGTAAGGAAAAAAAACTAAAGGCACCTTTGAAATACCTATATTGCAAGTACTTTATCTTTTCAAATATTAAGCAATAAAACAGAAAAGCAAAACAAAATACAACAGAAATACACTGCTCAAATTCAGGAAACCCGTACATATTTGTACACTACTATTTGCAGCTCTGGTAGCATAGTGCCTAAGGCACTTGACTGCTAACCAGAAGGCTGGTGGTTCAAACCCACCAGCCACTCCTCGGAAGGAAGGTTGGGTAATCTACTTCCATAGTGATACCACCACCTGGGAAACCCAAGGAGGGGTCACTATGAGTTGGGTCCGACTTGACGGCACATAACAACAACAACATTTGGATTCCACAAAGTTGACAATTCCGTTGATGGATGCAAGTCGTGAAAACAAAGAACGGGATAAGCTAGCACTGGACAGGCTTCCAGTGATGACATCGAAGTTCAAACAACAGTGACCGAAAAGCACAAACGCAACGTGTACCTGCAGGGAATCCCATCACATTGAATATCCTGTCCAGCTGGTCATGGTGGTAAGGGTTACTGGTTTTGATGTCCTCTTGTCGACAGTGAAATATGGGTTCTGATGTCAGCAGTTCTGCAAATATACACCCTATAGCCCAGATATCTTTAAAATAAAAGACAAAAAAAAAAAAAAAAAGGAAAACAGAAAAAGAAAGGAGGAAAATAAAGTGGTTCTTTCCAAAAGAAAATGCATTTTATTTTGGCAAGGAGTGTTTTCCTCTTTCCTAATAAGTCATATGAATTCCTGTGCAATTATAATGACCAAATATCAGGGAACACTATTTGTGAACATATGCCCGCTCCCCCATTTTTCACTCCCTGCAGTTCCGCCACCCCAGCCCGGGGCTTCATTCCATGTTGACATTCCAGTTTAGGAGCTGAGATTTTTGGTGAGTTTTGAAATGCACCAAACACGACCATGAAAAACTGCAAATGAACACTAGAATAACAAACAAAATTGAACACAAAAAATCAACAAACCAAACTATGGACTACTATGCAGCACTAAAGAATAATGTAGAATCTGCAACACACTGCATAACATGGATGAACTTGGAGGACATTACGCTCAGTGAAATCAGTCAATCACAGTACTGTACTGTATTAGGTCATTATTATAAACAGTCAAGGAAAGGTTTATATATGGAAGGAAACTTTCTTTGTTGGTTACCAGGGGTGGAACACCATAATAAATGAATGAATGAATGAATGAATGAATGAATAAATAAGAAAGAAGCAATGCCTAACCTCAAAAATTCCAATGAATATTAGAGACTCTGAGTAGAATAGCACTTTATTTGAACGGTTTTTCTTACAAGGTGTTTCTTTATGCTACGGCAAGGTCAGCTTTTGTCAGTTTAAATATTTAATAAGGACAAAAAAAGGGGGGGGGAAGTAATACTACCTTTCAATTGGGCAGAGAAGGCTAAGAACTCATAGGAATTATTTACGAGGAATTATTTACAAAAGGCAGCAAACGGACTTCTCAGTACAGGAGACACTGGAAGATACAGGCTGGCTTTCATTCCTATTAAAGTTTTACTCAATGGAACTATTAGTAGAGGAGAGAGCCACGTATCAATTTAGCTGAAAATACTCCACTTCTACTGGTAACAACTCCCTTTATTGACAGAGTTAATTTCCCTAGGCAGGTACAGTGCTGAGCACATAACAGACACACGGTAAGCGGTTTCTGAACAATTTAACTGATACCTGTAGCAAATATGAATAACCACAGGGGACAAATATAAAAAAAATCACAATTTTATTAGAGCTGAGTGCTCAGGTATCTTAATGATTGTCATTTAAAGAGCAAATGAGGAAAAAAAAAAAAATGAAGGGATAAACAACTGAGAATTCCTAAACTCCAAAATCAGAAAACAGATATTGAATGTAAAATTAACCCATTTGCATCCCCAAGCAACAAGTTAACCATTTCTTCCTTGAAGACTACACATCTTGATCACGAGCAGGGCATTTTTTCAATAAAAGGCATCATGTTTGTACAGCAGTTTCCTGTCATGTCAGTGAACCAAATCTAGCCACTGACACCATGTGGAACACTCTTGGTGAGAAATATAGGTCAGACTGGTTTGTTTTTAATATTTGCTTTACATGGATACCACGCATAAACCTGACCTTCCATCATCTTGAGCAAAGGCCAAATAGGAGCGCTAAGGAGGAACACAAAAAGGCTGCATATTTAAAACCTGGGGCATCCAAGAAACACAGTAACAACCTCTTCCGCTTCGTTATGAAAAACTCCAAGGAAAATAAAATATAGAACAGAAGATGAGAGAAATTAAACAGCTGAGCAATTCTTAAAGCTGCACTGCTTTTAAAGTAAAGAGTCAAGACAGCTGGCAAGCTGGTTTACTGAACCTTGCTTAATGCCAGCCTGGTAGGCTGTTTATTTAAACCTCTCCTGTTAGCCTTCCCTTCCACCTCCCCTTCCTTTCTTTCTTCCACATCCCGATCTTCCCAGTGATCATCCTCACACTGATCATGAACTCTGCGTCGGCTGAGCGGGCGATTATCTCAGGCAAACGTTCCCACACCACGCAGTTAAGTCTCTCCTCCCAGTACTGTCTACCTTTTCTCAGAATCAATGTTTTCAAAGTCCCTCTCCTGCTTACCTACCTGCCTGACTTTTCCAGAAACCTCTCCAAATTATACACATTATATAAATCCTACCCACTTCTTAAAAACTGGGATGCTCATTTGTAGTTACTGGGCTAACAAGGCAATGTTGTTGCTATTGTTATGTGCTGCTGAGTCAGACCCGACTCACAGTGACCCCTCCTTGGGTTTCTGAGGCGGTATCACTACGGAAGTAGATTGCCCAACCTTCCTTCTGAGGAGTGGCTGGTGGGTTTGAACCGTCAGCCTTCTGGTTAGCAGTCAAGTGCCTCAGGCACTACACCACCAGAGCTCCTTAACAAGGCAAAGGGGATAGTAATTTGTATGCCACAGACACCCAACATGGGAGACGAAAAAACAACAACGTAGATTTCTTGAATAGCATTTTAAACAGTAAGTGTACTAATGACAAGCTTCTATTTTGATAAAAGGGTAAATTCCCTTTTTCCGTATTTTATTATGCATTTGCCACTCAGTAGAATGCCACATACTCAGTGGGCACTTGGATATGAGGACAAATACCTGGCCTCAAAGTCCACGCAGGTGCATCAGAGACAACCATGGAAAAATTTCTCTATCCGAGGTGATCTGTCAAACTTTGGGGACTGTGTTAGTGGTCTGTCAACTAACTAATTAGAGACTGACACTGTTCTAAGAGGGAGCCTGCTTCCCCAAATCAATCAAACAAATAAAAATTAAAGCCCACTAAAACAGAATTCGGGAGCTCTGGTGGCATAGTGCCTAAGGCATTTTGACTGCTAACCAGAAGGCTGGTGGTTCAAACCCACCAGCCACTCCTCGGAAGGAAGGTTGGGCAATCCTACTTCCGTAGTGATACTGCCTCGGAAACCCAAGGAGGGGTCGCTATGAGTCAGGTCAAGTCAATGGCAGTGAATTTGGTTTGGGCTTTGCTTCCAGTGGGTGTGGTTTGGGCTTTGCTTCTGTGAAGACTGACAGCCTCGGAAACCCAAGGAGGGGTCGCTATGAGTCGGGCCGACTCGATGGCACATAACAACAACAACAACACAAAACAGAATTCAATGTTGTCTTGGGATGGCAGTGCTGCTGAGCTCACACTCCTCTCTGCGGAGCTCAGTCTGCGGTTCCAGACAAGTAAACAGATGAAGATGGCACCAGCATCTGCCTGCTGCAGACAGAGGGTGGGGACGTGTGACTGCCATTTGTTCAGACTGGATTTGTCTCCCCGTCCTCTTTTGCTAGGCTAAAGAGCCTTCAGCTAAACATAATCCACCTCACTCCCCCAACACTGAACCTTTCTAAGCGACACCATGAAGATATGAACGTATTCAGCAAATGATGTGTATGCTGAAATACAACTCCCATCAGCTCCCACACGACGACTGTCAGGGAACCAGCCGCGCTGAGTTGACCCTGACTCACAGCACCTCCGTGTGCGTCACAGTGGAACTGTGCTCCAGAGGGCTTTCCTGGCTGACTTGCTTCCCAGGTACCTGGGGGTGGGCTCAAACCAAGAACCTTTGGGTTAGCGGCCAGGTTGGCACCATCCAGGGCTCCCCAGCTGTGAGACAGGGAAGTCAAAATGCAAGGGAAATAGCTTCCTTCACAGTGGTGGTGGAGTTTGTGCAGTGCTTTAATGAACACTTAAGCTATCTGCACACGGAACTACAGTGATGTAGTGGCTAAGATGTTTGGCTGATAACCAAAAGGTAGGTGGTTTGAACCCACCAACTGCTCTGTGGAAGAAAGGTGGAGCTGCCTGCTTCCAGAAAGAGTTACAGCTTCGGAAACCCAACGGGGGTCTCCGTGAGTCAGAACTGACTTGAGGGCAGTGGGTTTGGTTCGGGCTATCTGCATAGGTAACAGGAGGAACGGGATTGTATGGAAGATGGCTGGGGTTGAGGAACAAGCTTCGGTTTTCACTTCCTTATTCTTAGTTTTTAAAAATTAACATTAAAATGGTTTATGTGTGATTTGTACAGACAAATCTCTGAGAAATAAAGCAATCAGTTGATTAGTTACCCACATGACAAGTTCCTTGAGTCAATGACAGAAGACAAGTGTTTTCCAAACAAGAGCTTGGTCAAGTCAGGCTAACACTAGGCAGCTGGGGGTGGGGTGGGTGGTCACCATTGTGAGGCAGATGACCTTGGTTTTAACCATCGGCACCAGCGTGAGTTCCCTCTGGGCCCTCCCCTCTGCAGGAGGAGGTTCTACTTCAGAGTCGTAGGCCCTGGTCCTCCAAGCCTACCCTGTGCTGCAGCTAAGCAGGTCTTGCTGAAAGGGGATGTAACAGCTAGATTGATGGAATCTCATTTTCAGGAAACGTGGGTAAGGGACTAAATGCTTTGCTTCAAACACACCCAACCACACAGAGTGACAGAGCCAAGACTAGAACCCAGAGGGCTAGTCTTGTTACTTCCATTGTTCATGTTGTCTTCTCAACTGGATTTAAGTCCCTTAAGGGCAAGGCCTAGAATTTGGCTTCCATTTTGGTTTCTCCTGAGTTTTAAAGAGCTATCCAATAAATCTAGATGTTGAGAAGCAGGAGAATGAGGAAGAAAAATATGAAGAACAGCCTTCTCTTTCCCAAATCATAGAAATGGGGAAATCTACCTTTCTAACTGTTGGCAGGTTGAGCTTGGTGGCTAATGTCCCTGAACTAGAACTGCTGACCTGTAGAATGTCCCAGTGTACAGCAGGTCATATGAACCTTCTTAATGGTCAAATGAAATGTAAGTTTCTTAGGAAAGAAGAAAAAGAGGACGAAGCCAGAGTCACCACCTTCTATGACAGTCTATGTTTTACTCCGTTGGAATCATTTGTTCAATCTCAAGTGTAGTCACTCATCTGCATTGTCTGTTAATGTCTAAGCTGAAGTATCTCTGCTTTTAGATATTCATTTTCTAGGTTAAAGAAAAAAGCAGCTATGTATTATACTAGTTCATACGTTCCTTAAATATATTTACAATATATTTGCAAAAAAGACATTCAAATGTGTGTTTAGGTGATAATCTATTCAAAAACAGGACTAGTGTCAATCATGTTTACTTTTCCCCCTAATTGACTATTTCTTTTAAATATTTTTTGTAAGTAATTTTATATTTATAGAAAAGTTGCAAAGACAGTACACAGAATTCCTGTATCTAACTGACTATTCCTATATCTAACTGACTTCATTTTTCTGTTGAACAGAACGTGATCTCAAACCATAGAGGTGGGTAAGACAGGCAAAGTTTGTCTATTTCAGTGGAGGGCAGATAACATCTGATGCTAGGAAGATACTACGATGGAAGTGTGATGGAAGTGGTAGGAGTGTGAATTCAGATGATGAGATCAAGAGCTCTCTTTCCACAGTACGATTGTTGAGTGGGAAGCAGCTTTGTCCTGCAGAACTCTGGGCAGATTCTGTACTCGGAAATACCAGCTAAAGTCAGTATTTCAGCCGACCCTCCTCCCCTCTTTCACTACTTCCTGAGGGCTGCCAGGTGTCTAAGGCTTCAGCAAAAACTGGAGGTCCCTTCCTCAGAGAATTCCTCCCTAGAGAACTGAATGTTGGAGCACAGCTGGGTGTTGCAGCATCAGGGTCCCCAGGCAATGTGGCTTTCTATAGGATTGCCCTGAAGTCAAGTCTGCCAGTCCCCATGCCCCATGGCCTGTGTACACAAAGTTCCCAAGTGGCTTCTAGTAACCTTACTCCTAAATATGAAGAGACAATCAAGAGTCATTGAACAGTTAAAGAATACTTGCCATATGGAAGGGAGAGAGTAAGATGTACAAACAAAAAGAATGATTAGAAAGAAAACACCAATAACTATTCAGGGAATCCAGAGAACAACATATAAACAAAAAACCTTGCTATCACTGGCCTCACATATTTGAGAAACTTTTCTTTGCATTAAAAAAAAAAAGATGTTATGAGAAAAGTAATAATCAGAGGGTAAGAAGTGGGTGTTGGACATAAATAAGACAATGGTAGGAAAGCTAGGAAGAGTGGCAAGAGGGATAAATCCAAAAGGGCCAGCATCTGATAATGTAATGTTAGGGAAGAAGGAAATTATAGACCAGAGGAGGCAACCAAAGGACTAGAACAGGGAAGTTTCCCCAGATCCAGGATATGAACTGCAGGCTGAGTGTGCCTACCACAGACTGAATGACATGGCCAGAACATCACAAAGTTAAGGAAGAGAAATAATTTTTGTTTCAAGAAAGAAAGAAACAGCAAGGACAGGTAATCTGCCAACAAATGAGAAAAAGATTGGCATAAGACTTCTCCTCAGCAACACTGATTCTAGAAAACAATGGATTATCATGAAAACTCGAGGGAAAATTATTGTGTACCTAGAATTTTAAACCTAGTCAATCTGTCAGGTAGAACAAAAGCATCTTTCAGATATGTGAAAACTAGAAAACTTACCTCTAAGATAGCCTTTCTACAGGGAGTCACTCAAGACCAGGTGCTAGCAAAACAAGGGATGGAATCCTGGGATCCAGGAAGCAAAGATCCAATCCAAGAGAAGGAAAAAGGGAAAGGGTAGGATGAAGAGCACAGGAAGCCTGGAGCCTGAGCAAGGATGGCAAGGATGGGCAGTACCAAGATGGAGTCATTCCATGAGAGAAAAGTGGACTTAATGCCGTCCTAGAGAATTTAGAGCAAGTCAAGGAAGCAAGAGAGACACAAGGAAGGTAAAAAGGAACACAAAGTGCATTAAAAAAAACCTGATGAAACTCCAGGATAAAGATGAAGCAGACCAATGATGTCATCAACAAGGAGCTGTGACAGCTGAGCACTGTCCATCACAACACACAACGCACGTGACAACCGCAGGAGCTACGACCAGCGAACGGAAAAGAAACATTGCAAACGCTGATGATAAAAAAATCTTATCAACTGAGAGGGAGGTGGAGGAAAAGTCTATCAACTGAGAGGGAGGTGGAGGAAAAGTCTAAGAGCACTACTTTTCTAGTTCTTCAAAATCAGCAGAGAATCAATACAATTAAAATGTGAAAAATAGACTAAAAGTTTCTAAACTCCTATTTTTTTTTAATTATCTTTTTTGTCTTATCTTTAGGAGAGCTTTTTAGAAGCTAGTATTTCTTGTGGTGAAAGAAACATTTGCCTGAAGTTCAAGGATTTCAAATATTACTGTTTGTACTTCTCTTTTCAAGTAAAATTAAATTCAGAACTTTCCTTTAAAAGCGAAGATGCATAGTATGATTCCATTGACTTAAAAACAATTCCTTGAATATCCACCTGTTTTCCAGGTAGAAAGAGCAATGCCTGGAATGAGTCCCTAATGCTAGTGATGGTATTTCTCAGCAGTGACATTTGGGGTCAGTTTTGCCTCTTACTTTTATAATTTTCTATATTACTTGATTTAAAAATATATTAAATGACGGATCTTTTACAACAACAGAGCCACTTTTTAAAAGTCAAGATTTTAATTTGTTCTACTCACCGATAGCTTTGGTATAATGTCTTGCTCCAAGAAGTAGTTCTGGGGCTCGGTACCAGAATGTCACAACTACTGGATCCAAGTCGGCTAAAGGCTTCAAAGGTGAATTAAATAATCGGGCAAAGCCCATATCAGCTGTAAAATAAAACAAATAATGTTACGTGAATATTTTTACACATTTAACCAAGTAGTCTAATTTTACCATTTCATTTAATAAAATATGAAAAATGAGCTCAATTGGGTGGGTGTGTGTGGAGGTGGAGATCATAAAACATCTCATTTCTTTCAGAAGTCTAACTATAAACCAGTCTGAGATCTTCATTCTTTGTGAACCGTCTATTGTCCCTCAGCTCTTCAACTGGGTGACGGACAAGCCCTGCTGCCTGAGGAAAAGGGTGGCCCTACTCCCCTGGGCAGACTTCTTTGCATCTGTCATTCCACCACTGGGGACAGGGTGGTCAAGCTGCACCTCCATTCTTTGTACTGGTCACAGGCACTGAGAAACAGGCAGCGAGCCGTTCGATGTCTGCATCCACAGTCTGAAGAGCCTGGTGGAGCTCATTGGAAGATGACTAGACAGAATGTAAGACTATATTTCCTGCCATTTATTTGGGTTGAATTTTACTCACTTAGTTTTAAGGAATCATTAAATTAAAAAAAAAAAAAAAAAAAAGCTAGAAATGACTTTGAAGGTCATGTAATGCAATCATCTCCTTTCTCAATGAGGAAACTGAGGTTAGAAGAAGCTGAGTGATTTGACAAAGGTCACAAACTCCTACCTCAGAGCTGGAACTGAGCTTGGCTATAGTTTCTGCCATTTGATAGAGTTTAGCATGTTAAATAGTAATTTGGGCATGGATGTGCTACCAAATTATAACCCAAAAAAACCAAACTCACTGCCATTGAGTCGGTCCCGACTCATAGCGACCCTTCCTTGGGTTTCCAAGGTGGTATCTCTACGGAAGTAGATTGCCCAGTCTTCCTTCTAAGGAGTGGCTGGTGGGTTTGAACCGCCAGCCTTCTGCTTAGCAGTCAAATGCCTTAAGCACTATGCCACCAGAGCTCCCACTTTAATCTGAACTATAATCCTCCTAAAGGTCAAAATTTATATTCCCTGTCCCTTACAGTATCAGTGTGGTGTCATTACACATAACTTTTGCCTAATAAATGGTGAGTAAACAGTCTATTTGTACAGCTATTCAAAATGTTTAAGATTCATTCACTATTTGATAAGTTTAGCTCTTCTCTCTTAATATACTTTTTTAATGAAGTCAGGCCTCGTCTAATCTGCTTAACTATGGAGGTTTGAAAAACAAAACAAAACAAACGAAAACACAGAAATTTGGTAAAGAATTGAAGCCATGAGTCAGATTACTAAAAGCTGATTAAGAGGAGCACTAATATTTCTTCTTAAACATAAATGCTTTAACACATTGTTGTTGTTGTTGTTATGTGCCGTCGAGTCGGCCCTGACTCATAGCGACCCCTCCTTGGGTTTCCGAGGCAGTATCACTACGGAAGTAGGATTGCCCAACCTTCCTTTCGAGGAGTGGCTGGTGGGTTTGAACCGCCAGCCGTCTGGTTAGCAGTCAAGTGTCTTAGCCACTATGCTACCAGAGCTCCTTTAACACATTAGTGTCTCCTAAATCTGCCATCCTCTTACGTCTTACACAGAAGTATGATTCAAAATGAGATGACTTTAACCTCTGAAGTTTCCCTAAATCTTACAGCAAAGAACGTGTTTGTAACTACTGTTTGGCTGCTGCTTTTCTATTTTGCATGCCCTGAACTTCCATTTGAACTTGATGCTACCAAATTGGACAGAATCCTTCCAGGGCACATGCGAGGCCTTACCAGGCACCCACGGATACTACAGTGAGCACTGACAGGGCTTGGCTCTCCAAGGAGGTCAATTGCTTGGTGTCCTCGGAGGTGTACCAAATTCTCCCATTACTAAAAAATAATCTGCAAAGTTTATATCATAAGAGAATATTCTGAGTCTAATGAGAGGCGGGAAGTGGGACTTGGGGAATTTGTAAGGGAAGATAGGCAACGGGGGTGAAGGACATCTAGGGTTTTGCTTGGCTGGTGAAGTGTGCAAGTCAGCTGGGACTTCTAATTCAAAGGAAATCTTGCAATCAGAAATCACAATTAACTTTGTCACATGCTCCCACAATCCTGCTGCCTTTAAATTAAAATGGCAACTTAATGACAACATTTCTTCTACCCACACACAGAGCAATCTAAATGTATGCGACAAACACAACTTGGAAATGACAATGGAAAAAAAAATAACAAGTGAGGATAAGTAAATTTAGTTCAATCCTTATAGCTTATCAGACCAGAAAGAGGTAAATTTTTGCTTTGAGACATAAGGAAACAGAGCTATTAAAAATATGGCGAGACACAGAATGTACGTGACTTCAGTTTCTTCAAGAGGCCAATGCCTGGTGAACAGCTGTTTGTCTCGTTAAGACTTGAGCCTTGGTGGCTCTCCCTGAGAGTTTTAACTACGGATCTAGACAAGGTCAATAGAGGCACACATTCGGATCTAATCCGGCTTTAGGTGACCAGAACGGCTGGTATGAGCGTCAGCAGGCTGTACGCCCTTGTGTCTCAAGGTGAGGCCGGCTTCTAACACAGGTTGAAGCCACTTACCTCCACAGGCTGTTTTTAATGGAGGCAGAGGTTTCTAAGAAACTTGCAAGGCTTGTTTTATAATTAGAATGCTTCTGTCTCTAAGGATTGTCTGACACCTTTGCAAAGTGTGAAACATTTTTCACTTTTAATACATACTCTTTAGAAATGGCTTCTGTCATATGGGACTGCATGAACATATGCATATTATTACAGCAAAAATCAGAAGTGATACAGCTGCCTGCAAAAGTTTTAAAAGAGTGCTACGCTGTGACTTATCAAAGATATAACGTACCAATTTTTACTCTTCCTCGCTCAGGACCTTCACCCATAACTAAAATATTAGCAGGTTTCTGTGGAAACAAAATAGTGGTTTTTTTTCAGTAGACAGTAGTGGTTTTTTCAAATAGACAATATGCCAATATAACATAAACCCACTTTGTATAAGATTTTATTTACTTAAAAATGAAAGCAAATACAGGACGTCACCAAAGAACTTTCTTTACTTGTATATATGCAAGGCAATAAGCAAAATGTCTTGGGGGCCCAAATATGGCGTGCTTTCCTGTATGTGGCACAAAGGCTTTTCCACGGTTTCTTTTCACTAGTTATGACGCCGTGGCTCCTTCTTTTTCAACTGTGTGAGATGTCCAGGGACTTCAGGGAAAGAATGAGTCTGCAGATGGTTTCCTATGATGTAGCAAATCACGTCACCTTATCTCCTTTTTGGAAAAAAGGCAAGGCATGCATCTTTGTATAAATAACTATAGAAAAATTCATGAAGCCTTTTGCAAACAAGCTAGCAAAGTATAAGCATTTTTCATGACACGAAAGCTTGAAATTTTTTTTTTTTTTTGTTTAAATGACAAGTTAAAATTTAAAGTGAGATTATACAAAAGTAGGAATTCAAACAACTTGAAAATGTATAAAAATATACAGGATTAACTGACCTATAAAATCTGTTACAGTGGTATCTACTATCCTAACACATCTAAGGGCTGTCTCCTCTCTGGGAAGAGAAATGAGGAGGAGAAGGAGGGGAGAGAGGGAAAGGGGGTGGGGAGGAGAGAAGAAGAGATGTGATTGGTGTTCTCCCCGAATCTTATCCATCCTTCTCTCCTGCTTTCTACTGGGTCCGCTGTAATCTACCAATCTACCAATCCGCTAAATAAAAGTGAAACTGGATTAGCATGCCTCTTCCCAAAGTGACTGAAAGCCCAGCCCATTGCTCTCAAGTTGGATCCGACCCATAGCGACCCCTCCTTGGGTCTATGGAAGTAGATTGCCCAACCTTCCTTCCAAGGAGTGGCTGGTGGGTTTGAACTGCCAGCCTTCTGGTTAGCAGTCAAATGCTTTAAGCACTACACCACCACCTTAAAGTCAAATTAACAAGTTTAACCAAGACTTTTGTAGCGATAACCATTTCATCATCTTCCCTAACCATGTTTAGTGAGGGCCCCTATGATGAGATGGCTCAAATGTAATTGACAGTATTTTAGCCTATCAGTTACCACAGATCAAAACTGCTCTTCCCCCAGCAGAAAGGGAAGAAAGACACTGCTGACATGGCAGCAGATACATTTCAGATGTTAAGAATTCCTACAGTTTTCCAGGTCAAAGAGCTGGGCCCCAGAGAGATGCATTTGACTCTGGCCCTAAGTAGAATCAGCAGGTTGGGGACAGCGGGGGAATCTCCCATTTCCCAACAGTCTAGGCTCCCTTCCTGACAGGGTGTTATAAAAGTAATCTTATGCAGCCATATCAAGTAAAATTTCAGATTTTTTATTATCACAATTCATTCACTATTATTAAAACATTGTTATTGTTGCTTTGTGCCACTGAGTCGGCCCAGACTCATAGAGACCCCTCCTTGGGTTTCCTAGGCAGTATCACTACGGAAGTAGATTGCCCAACCTTCTTTCCGAGGAGTGGCTGATGGGTTTGAACCGTCAGTCTTCTGGTTAGCAGTCAAGTGCCTTAAGCACTATGCTACCAGAGCTCCTATCAAGAAACCACTTTTAGAACCTCTCTCACCATCCACCGGCTCCTGACCATGGGAGTAGCTGTCTATGTATCAACCATAGGGACATCCTGGGAGTATGCCCCGTGAGCTCCTTACCTGTGCTACTCAGTACAAACACAACTGCTCTCGTGTCCTGTGTTCATCAGTCAACACCGGGTTAGGCTCTGCAAAGCTTCTTAGGGTCCAGCTACCTCAAAACAGAGCCAGATTTCCCCTGATGGCGGAGGAGGGCTTGCCAAGCGGGAATCAGGCAGCATTTCTGTCTGGCTGAGAGGAAAAGTCTTGCTCTCAGCTTCACGAGGTGGGTTCTGGGGGGCACCTGTTTGTGCTAAATGCTATTTCCATGATTCTTCAGGGCAGCACCCCGAAACCTCTCTTGAATGCATTCCCTACTTTTTAACAGCACCTTACCCTCATATTAAGTTTCTGCCCATCAGCTTTATCTTCTGTACCGTTACCAGGGGATTCTTCTGAAACATACATCTGTACTTAAGCCTTTCCACAGTGACAGGGAAAATTATTACAAGATCAGGTAGAAAAAGTGGAATGTGGAATGATATACACAATGGAATTACAACTGTTTTTTTTTTTTTTTTTCTTTTTTTTTAAAAAAAAGCACCTATGAGTAAGGTAAGAAAATACAGAAAACCACATAGCCCTGGTGTGATAGAAATATGGATGAACCTTTTCAAAAACATCTTTGGATGTTTTGTTGCGTCATTATTATTAAAAATATATTTCTACTTTAACAGGTCCCCCAGCACGTCTGAATACGGCCCAAACTCCTGAGACTGGCCTGTGAGGCGCCTATCAGCTGGCCCGACCACCACGCCAGCCACCTTCCGACCCCCGCACACTTGTCTCCCACCACGCGGAGCAGGCCAGCACCATACCTCACTGCGCCATGATTTCTGCCCCAAAAGACCTTTCCTCCGTGTCAAATGGCAACGTCCGATGCTTTTTCTTTTTTCTCCCCTTAATGACATGGTGATCCACGAACACAGCTGAAGTATAATAGTTGAAACTTTCCAGTCGCACAAAGTGAAGGGATGAAAAGCCTTTCGCCATCCATCCCTCTTCCACTCCATCCCCCATCCCACTCCTTTCTCTGGAGGTGCAAGGTGGACTGGTTGGCTGTGATGGATTTCTCTAGCACCAGCGTGCTCAATCCTAAATGATTCTCTCCGTATCTGGCGAAAGCACATCCACCCAGCTCATATCTAGAAGGGGGCGGTCTCTATTTCTGATGCACTTTCTCATTCATTCAACAATTGGGTCCCGAGCTATTGCCCGAGTCAGGAAGCCCTATAAGGATAAAGATTTTTGCTCTGTCAGGCCTGACTCCATATTGTTAGAATCACATTCCATCTTTTCAGCTAAGATGCCATTTCTTTGAAACATGGCTTCAATCTTGTGTTACAATTAACTTGTTCTCTCTCTAAGACACAGTTATCAGTTTCTGCTGCATTCTGTGATCTAAGACAGGGCCATCTGTGTCAATAAAGGCTATAGGACCGGCCACCTGGACTCTGACAAACACTGATGGAGCCTCTTAAGGATGACCTGCCTGCTGGGGACCCACAGGACCCAGTGTCCTACATAGCTTCAGGAGAACTGTTAACTAATCCTGCACGTGTGCTGTCTCTCTTTCCCTTTAATATAAGAACGCCTGGTTGTAAATGCTGAGGAGAGTGGGCATTTTTGGGGTCACTGAGACCCTGCCTGTCTCTCGTTGGTGCACCTTCTGATTAAAACTCTCTTCTTCTCTTTGAACTCTGGTGTGGATGTGCTGCTCCAGGGCTAGACCTCTGCATGTTTTGGGGTTACAGTGTCCTGATGCCCAATGTGGGGCCTTGCCAGGTGCCTCGCCCTGGAGTTGCCCTCCTAGGGACTGCTTGAGAGCAAGGAGGCCTTGGGACACGTGCCACTCTGCCTAACTGGGCATGTCCCTTGGAGCCTGCTCTCATTGCCAGTGATGTGGGGCCCTCGCAGGAGACCTGGGCCTTTCATCAAGGAGGAACAGACTGACTGACTGATGGCTTGGAGGTGACTTGGTAGAAGACCCTTAAAACCAGGAGCTATTTCTTATTGACACTAGAATGCCAAGAATGGGTGACTAGGTCCCGTGAGGAGCTGGGAATGGTGGGTATTCAAGTGTCCTCAAAGAAGGAAAATTAGCCCTAAGGAGGCTAAGAATGGGTGACTAGGTCCTGTGAGAGACCGAGTGAGAAGACAGCTAATGGACAAATATTCTTTAAGATGGCAAACAGGAAGAGTTCTACCCCGGATTGCAGACCCTTAAGGCATACTCTTAAGAATTGGGTTTATTTTGCTGGGGAACCTATGAGGAAAGCTAGGATGAAGTTTTTGTGTACCAACTCCTGGCCCAAGTATCAACTCCCCGATGGAGCATCTTGGCCAGAATGTGGATCACGAATTCTAATGACATCTTACAGCCTGATTTGTACTGTGCTCGAATGTGAAACGGGATGAGAAGACGTATGCTGAATGCTTTATGACACTGTGGCATGATACGGAATTGCAAGCCAGATGTAAAATTCAAACTCTCGTTTTAGCAGTATCTGAAGATGATGACGACAGTTGAAATGTTCTTTTAGCTCTTCCAGCAAATGGAAGAAATCCTCAGCGAGAGATGGTGGTGACTTGCACCCTCTCACTCTCTCTCCTCCATGGTGTCTGAACACCATACAGAGAGCTCAGCGTTCCACCTGTGTTGCTGAAGGGAGGCCAAAGGAAGGTACGGTGTCTCCCTCCCACACCTGCTCAGGTGTGGAATTCAACCATGTGGGGGTGGAGGGGGGTGCATTTCCTCTCCGACAGGTACCAGTAGCTGGAGGAGTTGAGAGCACACACATGCTGTGTGAGTTCATACTTCTTCTGACTTGCTCAACTGGAAGAATAACCTGCCCTCTTACTAGTCAGACCCTTCCTGCACATGTGACTTCTTTTCCTTCATTTTTAAGGCTCATCACCTCTCTTGGGCAGACTGTCAATCTCTGATAGATATTCTTTTGACCTCCAAGGAAAGATGCAATGGTTTTCCTGAAGGCTCAAGAAAGGGCAGAAGACTGGTATGCTGAGGAAGGGGAAATGGAGTTCCTCCCGAGCTGTTTCTGTCCTCTGCTGAGCCCCAGTGGGACCCCAACACAGATGTCAGCCAGGTTCATCTCCAAACGTACAGAGAATATCTGATGCATGGTCTCCTGCATGGAGTCCTGAAGAAACTTAACTTCTGGCAAGATAAGAGAAGTCTAGCACACGCAGACAACAATCCTTCAGCCTCTGGTGGCCTAGTGTCTAAGGCACTTGACTGCTAACCAGAAGGCTGACGGTTCAAACCCACCAGCCACTCCTCAGAAGGAAGATCGGGCAATCTACTTCTGTTGAGATGCCACCTAGGAAACCCAAGGAGGGTCGCTATGACGACTGACTCAACGGCAGTGAGTTTTTTTTTTTTTTTTTTAACAGTATACTAATGCTGACCCAGAAGATGAGTATGCCTCCATAGTTTATGAGACATTCATGGGTCAGAGCAGTCCCAATATTTGAAAGAAATCACAGAAAATAGAAAGAGAAGCTGGCATGTCCATTCCCAGCCCACGGAGGTAACTTTAAAAATGTTTAGCGATGGTGACAAGGTACAGAAAAGGAGCCAGGAAATGAAAGGCCTCCCTCCTCAGCCCTGTCTCAGCATGGTAGATGCCATGGGACTTGGGGGGCCCTGCCTTGGAAGGAACAGGTGTGCTATTTGCCACTGGAAAGGGAATGCCTGAAAGGGGGATAATAAGCCCCTTGAGACCTGGCCCCCCAATTCCAGGGAGCAGTGGCTGAGAGGAGAGGTGAAGATGCAGAATGAGGAGGACCGCAGGAACCTTTCATTGGTCATTAACTCCTCTGGTGTCAAACTGATTTTAACCAAACAAGGACTAGGCTAAGTAGCACCCCAGTGCTGCGGGGTCTCCCAACTGTGACAAAGCTTTGAAGCTAGAGGAAGAGAAAAGTGGCAGCAGTGGGAGTCCTCACTTAGACCCTTGGCCCCAGAAGCATCCTGTGGCTTAATTCTCAAAGACTCTTAAAGAAGTGGCCAAGGGATGGCCAGCTTGCCTTCAGGCGGTTGCGGCTACCAAGATCCTAGTTCAAAAACCAAAACCAAAACCCACTGCTGTCAAGGCAGCTCCGACTTGGAGACCCCCATTGGGTTTCCGAGGTGGTAAATCTTTATGTAGATTGCCCAGTCGTCCTTCCGTGGAGGGGCTGGTGGGTGAGGCTGAGAAATTTAGCTTTGGCAGTTCTCTAGCTGTGCATGTTCCTCACGTAAAAGTGGCTATGATCAACTGTCAAGTTCACCAAAAAGGAGACACTGATGTTATTTGGGGAATTCGTCTGCCTCCCAAGCAGCAAAGGAGGGTGCTAAGAAGAGACTAGTTAGGCACTAGCCCCGTTTTCTCAGATACCAGACTTACGAGTGTATCAGAGCTTACATTCGAGAGCACTTGGGTTGTGGAAGGCTGCGGTCTACAGTGGGAGCTCTAACTCTATTTTGAGTCTTGACATAGTTCAGATACCACTGGGTTCCTTTTGACCTTTAAACCAACATTGTGGCTATGCTTAGAAAAGTCCAGGACAAACCTAGGGAGGGGCAGTTTGCCCTCAGGAAGAGTGTAGTTGAAAGCAGATTATGTTTACACAGAGAACTAGGGAACTTGCTTGGGTGTGTCCTTACCTAATTTAAATTAAGGTTGGGGTCTTGGTATTGTCTTGTAACCACCTTGTGGCTATGACTCAGGTGCATGGTCATGAGTCCTATCTGGACTATCTCGAAGCCAGATAATCAAGACCCAGAACCAATATCCTAACCCTTTTTAATCTTTAATTATGTACACATCCCAATCACAGACCTTTTCCTGCTTCTCCAGTCCCTCCTGCAACAGTGATGAATCAATCTGCTGCCAATCATAATTCTGTGATGATTGTTAGAGATATGCCATGCCATCTTGTGTGGTTCTTCTTCATTCCCTGCTGCCCCACCCAAGGTCATAAGTCAGTTAAAGGAAGTTGAAACTGAGCTTCCTGCAAGGTGCGTATTTTAAAAGGCAACATAGCCTCTGATAGGTTAAGACCTCTTCCCCCAGCTCTGATGTACAACCTCCTAACCCCAGGTCTATATAAGACTACCCTCTTCCTGCTCTTCCTCTTCCTCTTCTTCCTCTCTTCTTCTCTTCTTCCTCTTTCTTTCTTCTTCTCTTCTTCTTCTTCCTCTTCTTCTTCTGTCCTTCCTCAGTGCAGGCACCCTTTTGCCTCCTTAATAAAATCTCCTGTTGGGTACCCTGGTGTGTGGCGTGGTCGTTGAGTGCCGACGGAGCTCTAACAATGATTCCTTTTGTTTTCAATCACATATAATTAGCCTGATGGCCTTGACTGAGTGGACTCCATTCAGCTTTCTGTACTGTGTACATGCTGATGGTTTCCCTCATCCTGGAAGGCTGCCTTTGTCCTGTCCAAGGCTTAATGAAAGTGCCTAAGGCACTTGACTGCTAACCAGAAGGCTGGGCAATCTACTTCTGTAGTGATACTGCCTCTGAAACCCAAGGAGGTGTCACGGAAACCCAAGGAGGGGTCTCTATGAGTCAGATACAACTTGATGGCAACGAGTCTGGTTTTGGTTTGGTACTGAACCTATTTGAATCTGGGGTCTCTTTTTCCCTGAGCACAAATGGCGTAGTCGGCAGAATCCACAGCTGTCTTTACCTATGGGACCCCTAGAGGTCGAGGACTAGACAGGCACCAGAGAAGGGATTTCTTGTACCCCATCATCTCCACAACCCCTGGAGCCATGTGAGGTAAGTGCTCTTGGATTTTGAGTGTTCTGCTTCAGTGTGGCTCTCTAATGCCTTTATTAAGTCTTGTCGTGTGTATGTGTTTTGATTTTTTCTTTCCCTGTAAGAACTCTTAATGCATTCTTTCTGCTTCTTTCCATGTCTGAAGAATGTGTCTTAGCACCTCCAGAAGTATTTGGTTTTATTTGCAGATTTGTAAGAAACGATACATGCTGAACTCTGGCCTAGTAAATTTTCCTGTGCTGCCGCTTCTCTCTCCCTCTCCACCCTCTCTCCCCATCCCCCTTTTCCCTCTAAATTGCTCTAAGCCTCAGCTCCAAATAGAACTGCTTCCTGAACCTTCCTTATGAATTAGCTTTCAGCAGCTACTCCTAAGAAACTTTGATACAAATTGGTTCATTTGAAAAGTGCTCTGAACAAAATGCTTATTTTATTAGTATAACAAGGCCTTAAAAAGAAACAAATTATTCTAAAGTAATCTTATGAAGCATAAGATTATTATTTACCATCATTATTTTCCCAGGATCATGAAAACAGAATTTTCACCTCTAGATGCTATTATTAAATTAGATAATATTTTTTCAAGGAACATGCTCTGATTTGGTTTAAAGTAAACAATTTAGAATTAGATAGTCCTGATATTACAAAGGATTAATGAAATGAATTCATTTTGACAAAGTTTTTGTGTTTATGAAGGCAAAATCTTTCCACCTAATTTAAGTGAGATGTTACAGAATGTGTTTCATTTAAAGAAAAGTAATTTGTCTCACAGCAAAAGTAGTAGTTAAATTGGTTATCTTTTTATTTAACATGTAAATGAACTAATATGAACTATTCTTGCCTTTAAATTTGAGCCCAAGGTTTGGGGAGACCCAGTTGCCTAGCCCATCGTCTTGGCGGTCATATAGCTCTAGGAAAACTTCTGAAGGACCCTCCTAAACTAATGTAGACTTTTCCAGACAAAAGGGAATGAGGAAAAATGCTGTCTTACTGTAATTATAAAAAACTCGATGAATCTCCATTACAGGGAAACCCATAGGTAGATTCTCTCTACTGCAAGAGAACTCTGCAAAGGCAAAACAGAAATTACATGGGAGTGGCCTTGGGATATGTTTCCACCTCAAGCCAGAGACTTGAAGTTCTATTCATAAAATTGGTCATCTGGGCAACAACTTTGTGATTTCCAAAACTGGTTGGTAAAAACTTAAAGTGTTCAATTTGGATTTTGGGAAATAGAGAAAAGTTTAAATGAAAACTTAGGATGTCTAAACAAACCTTTTCAGCAGTAATTTTGTTTTGTGACATACACACACACACACAGTTTCAAGATCTTTAGGTAATTTACTAATTTACTAATAATTGAGTTAAATATTCATTACAATTCAAAATTCATATACTTTTTGCTTTTTAGAGAAAGGATGTATCCATATTCAGGTCTGCTATAAGTGTGTTCATTTTGCCATTTACAGCATTATAATAGTTCTATCTGCAACAGGCAGCGTTTAAAAGATTTATTAAAAAGAATTTATTTGATATGTTCAAGGTTTCATCTGTTTGGCTAAAATTCAATAGTTTTAGGATTTTTAGGAAGTTTAATAATAAACAGCATAGAAAACACCTAATTGGGTTTCTTGGGTTAAAGTGAAAAACTTTGATTACTGGTTTGAAGATTCAGTCTTTGTGTGATCTGTCTCCAAGGCAAGGGTAGAAGTGGATTCCTGAATTAGACCAAGCTGCATGGTTTTGAAAAAAGTTAAGGTTTTTATCTTTAAGATTCTTAAATAACTTAGGTTACTGTTTCTCAGTAAGCTACGATAAACTCCTGATAGCTTTTAAGAGCCACAAAGAATTTTTAGAGTGCTAAAAAGTTTTATTTTATAGGCTATAAATGATCTTGAGTGTGTTGTCAATTCAAGAGAAGTAGTGGATTCTCTTTTGGGTTAAAAATTTATGTTAGTGTTTCCTCTTGTGTTTATGCTTAATTATTAGACAATGAGCACATGATGTTATGTCATAATTTTAGTTATTTTAATTGCTAACTCAGTCACAACTTAAAAAAAAAGTAGCATTAAAGCCAGTTTAACAGAGAGAACTACTCCACTTTCCTATAGAGCTTTAATTCAGATATTTAGAGGTAGTTTTGGCATGTAGTATTGTGTCTCAAGGTTATTATGTGTTATTTTTAAAACTCTTTGAAAACAAGGTTAATCATTATGTTTAGAGATACTCTATCTAAGGTTCCTTTCGTTTTTGACTTTGGTTGGCTTTACATTGGCTCTGTAATTAATTCCCCATTAGGTTTTTCACTTTAAAAAATATTACTGTGAATTCACCCATATTCATCGCACCACTATTTACAACAGCAAAAAGATGGAAATGACCTACATGCCCATTAACAGAGGAATGGAATAGCACACTATGGTACATACTAATAGAATACTATGCAGCACTAAAGAATAATGCAGAATCTGCAGAACACTGCATAACATGGATGGACTTGGAGGACATTACGCTGAGTGAAATAAGTCAGTCACAGAAGGACTAGAATAGTATAAATTCATTATTGTAAAAAGCCAAGGAAAGGTTTATATACGGAAGGAAACTCTTTGTTGGTTACCAGGGTTGGAAGGGGAGGGGAGGGGAAGGGAGGGAATACTGCCAAAAAAAAAAAAAAAAAGCATTGACCCATGTCACTTGAGATTTGTGTATTTCACTGTACATAAATTATATTTCAATAAAATATATTAAAAAAAAAATCACTGTGACTTAACCACAGCCGCATTAAATTTTGTCACCTGCTTCAGAGAAGCCTTTGCTTTGCTGACTTGCTGGAATGCTTGACCAAATATTCCAATGGTAAGATGGACTATATTGGACTATGATGGGAAAGGACTGTGCTATTCTGAACATGGCTCCTACTACGCTGGATCCAGGTTTCCTGAACTCTGGGGTAGGAGGTGACAGATCCACACAGTGCGCTGCAGTTGATTCAAGACTGCAGGAAATGAATTAATTACGCAGGGCTAAAACGGAAAATCAAAACAAAACAAAGCCCAACCCACTGACATCAAGTCCATTCCAACCCATAGTGACCCCATAGGGTTTCCAAGGCTGTCAATTTTTACAGAAGTAGATTGCCCCATCTTCTTCCTGAAGAGCAGCTGGTGGGTTTGAACTTCTGACCTTCTGGTTAGCAGCCAAATGCCTTACCCCCTGTCCTACCAGAGCTCCTTACACAGGACTAAGTGAACTAAAAAATTACTATGAGATCTATATAAGAATATTACTCATCTTTTAATATTCTGTTTTCTGGATATAAGAAACCATCTTTTCTGTCCTTCCTCCTAAATCATCTATGGGTTTTTCTGTTTTTACCTGCAGATTTTGATTAGTTCTTGTTATGATATTCTTAGGTGTTTATATATAATCAGCTAACCAAGAGGAAAAATAAGAAATATGAGAAGAATATAAAATTGAGAACCAGAAAGGAAACCTTAAAGGAGATGAGAAAATTCTTGAACCAACATGGTGCTATTAGCTACTGAACTAGCTAGCTCCTACATAATGTAATCCTCAGACTTTAAATGAGTTTAGATAATGTAACTCTGATGAGAAGCTACTGTTGATAAATAAATGTCACAAAGTTAAAAATACCATAAATAGAGCAGTGTCTGAAGTTCAAGATAGGATTTTTAAAAATAGAACGGCATGAAGATTTCCACTAAGTCTTGCAAGGAACAGTTCTGTATCTTAATAGATGAAATTTGCTGTGTCCATTAATATAAAACCTGAAGTTTTGCAGAATGCCTTTAGAGCTGAGGCCTGTGAAAAGAGTTACTAACACTGTTTACCCACAAACGAACGCCTTGTGGAACTTGTTTCCTTAGTACAAAGACCTCAGGGGTTTTCGTTTTGGGGGATGTTTCAGCCATTTGTCCTAATATTGTTAACGTTTCCAGATTTCTGGCTTTCATGGAAGTGGAGGTAACCTAAATAGACCATTGCCCTTAGGAGGCCTTTTGAAACTTGAGTCTTGGAAAAACGTGCCTAAAAGCCATTTTTAAGTCAAACGCTTTATGAAACACCAGATAAACTAGGAAGATCACTTTGGTCTGGGCATTGTGGTCTTTAGAAGAATTCAGTCTGTCTGGGGAAATAGACTTAAGAAAATCAGACTGGGCATTAGGTTTTGAGTAAGTCAGTATTTTTCTAATTGACCTCCAATGTTAAATGAAATGCCTGCCTAATGTTTGTAATCAAACCGTTCCCCTCCTTGGTATACTGAAAATTATGCATGTTGAAGGACCCAGGTCTTCAGGGGAGACTGGCCTCACCTTGACTCACTCTTATGATAATGATCAATAAATGTCTGTGGAAACTCAGGATCAGAGGAGGGAACTGAAAACGTGAGGCACCCCCAAACCTTAGAACACTAGCCTAACTGAAATGGCTGGCACAAGGTTTGGCTCGAACTTCATTTTGTTTTGGGCTCTGCTTTCGTTTCTGAGAAGGTGACCCGGGACTGTTGGGTGAACAAGGGAGGGCAGCTTTGCCCTGGAGAATATGTGTAAATAGATTATCTGAAGCCCCCCAACACCTGCATTAGCTGGCTAATGGTGTATCTTTGACAATCCTTCACTGAATGTTTTTCTTTTGGTCACTCTGGAGGTCACATGCCATAGGTGACCTGGACTTTAGACTGTTATCATGTTTTTCATAGATGAGAGAGCCTTCTGATCTCCAGGCCTGCCTGATTTCACTCCAAAATATCTAGGAAGACGTATCAGTTAAAGAACTCTTTGGAACCCCACCGGAATACACCAAAATTTGCTCTCCTCGCCAATCTGTATGTAGTTGAACTAGAAGGTGTTAAACCTTAAGATACATTTGTCACTGATCAAGGAACTGAAGCACACTAGCTTTCCAAAGATCACTGGACACTGTTTAAATCATTATTGCTTTTGAAGCATAATAAAGAACCTGGGTTATTTGACTAGCAAAAGTTTTCCATACAGATTATCAATATATTGGCTATCTAATTTCAAATTCATTACTCTATGCCTTTAGGTTCTGTAGACTACTTTTCCCTTACTGAATGAATGTTATTGAAATTGCCTTGTGTGATTTCACTTAAGTTTTATTAATTTGGGTAGGTAACCCTTTCCATGTGTTTTAACTGAAAAACTTTCCTTTACATTTTTCTTATTAGTATTTTAATCCAAACTATTGACTGGATTAATGATATTATTATTGTTGTTGTTGTTAGGTGTCGTCGAGTTGGCTCTGACTCATAGTGACCCTGTGTACAACAGAACAAAAAACTACCCGGTCCTGTGCCAGCCTCACAATCCTTGAGCCCACCTGAGCCCATCGTTGCAGACACTGTCAATCCATCTGAAGGCCTTCCCCTTTTTCTCTGACCCTGCACTTTACCAAGCATGATGTCCTTCTCCAAGGAATGGTCCCTTCTGACAACATGACCAAAGCAGGTGAGATGAAGTCTGGCCAAGATGGGGCAATTTACTTCCATAAAGATTTACCACCTCAGGAACCCAATGGGGGTCACCATGAGTCAGACAGACTTGACAGCAGTGAGATATTATTATTAGGATTATCAAATGTTATATGAAGATTACTTCTAATATACTGTCTTAGAAAGCTAATATGCTGCATAAAGTGAGTCATATATAAAACCAAACCAAATTCACTGCCATCGAGTTGGATCCGACTCATAGTGACCTCTCCTTGGGTTTCGGAGGCATATGTCTATGGAAGGAGACTGCCCAACCTGAGGAGTGGCTGGTAGGTTTGAACTACCAGCCTTCTGGTTAGTAGTCAAATGCCTTAGGCACTACGCCACCAGAGCTCCTGAGTCATATATATTGACAAGATATATTTTAGAGATGGACTTGGGTTTCCATTTAAGGTTTGTAGCCTAACCACACTGCTAACCAGAGGGCTGGTGGTTCAAACCCACCAGCAACTCCTTGGAAGGAAGATGGGGCAATCTACTTCCATGGTGATACTGCCTTGGCAACCCAAGGAGGGGTCGCTATGAGTCGGGTCCAACTCGATGGCACATAACAACAACAACAACAAGAAGCCTAACCACAGCCCAGGTCATTATTCCAATATGGCCTGCTCCATACTTGTCCTCATAAGTTGATCACTGAAGACTGGGTGCTACAGTGAAGCCTGGTGAAGAAATGAGATGGTGGTTGGCTATCAAGAAAGGATAGTGTCTGTCCTCAAACAAGCAGCCATCTAAAGGAGCCATCAAGCAGTCCAGGCAGAAGAAAGCACACCAACCTAAAGGAAAAAAACCAAACTCATTGCCGTCGAGTCGGACCAACTCATAGCGGCCCCTCATTGGGTTTCCAAGGTAGTATCACTACAGAAATAGACTGCCCAACCTTTCTTCTGAGGAGTGGCTGGTGGGTTTGAACCTCCAGCCTTCTAGTTAGCAGTCACATGCCTTAGGCACTATGTCACCAGAGCTCCCCACACCAACCTAAGTGTGATCAAAGGATTTTAATTAAAATCCACGATCAGAGGAAGGAATGTATAAGAGCTTAAATTCTGTTTGTTCTGATTGTTCTGTAAATTCTGATTGTTGTTGTTAGGTGCCGTTGAGTCGTTTCTGACTCATAGCGACCCCATGCACAGCTAAATGAAACACTGCCAATCCCGCACCAGCCCCACAATCCCTGCTATACTTGAGCCCACTATCACAGCCACTGTGTCATCCCATCTCATTGAAGGTCTTCCTCTCTTTTGTTGACCCTCCACCCTACCAAGCATGACATCCTTCTCCAGGGAATGGTCCCTTCTGACAACATGACCAAAGTAGGTGAGACAAAGTCTGGTCATTCTAACTTCCAATAAGCATTTTGGCTGCACTTCCTCTAGAACAGATCTGTTAGTTCTTTTGGAAGTCCATGGTACTTTCAGCATTCTTCTCCAGCACCACAACTCAAAAGTATCAACTCTTCCTTATTCATCGTCCAGCTCTCACATGCATACGAGGCAACTGAAAATATCATGGCTTGTGTCAGGCACACCTTAGTCCTCAAGGAGACATCCTTGCTCCTCAGCACTTGAAAGAGTTCCGACCTGCCCAGTGCTGCACATCATCTAATGTCCTGACTGCTGCTTCCATTGGCATCAATTGTAGAACCAAGCCTAGTGGAGACCTTGCTAAAAGGTAGGAGTGCTACAGGTCATCCAGCCCACGAAAGGCCTAGACTGGGAGATCTTTAGACTCGGCCTAGCCACACCCTCAGTCAGTGACTCCTTTCCAGGCGCAGGTGTTCGGACCCTCCTCCCTTCTCAGGACATACTGCCAGTTCTTGACTCAAAAGTTATTTGGTCCTTTCATAATAAGAGCTCATTAAGAACTAATCAGGAGCTCTGGTAGCATAGTGGCTAAAGCATTTGACTGCTAACCAGAAGGCTGGCGGTTCAAACCCACCAGCCACTCCTCGGAAGGAAGGTTGGGCAATCCTACTTCCGTAGTGATACTGCCTCGGAAACCCAAGGAGGGGTCGCTATGAGTCGGGCCAACTCGATGGCACATAACAACAAACAACAAGAGCTAATCATGAAATATTCAAAATATGACCTTGAATATATCCCTCCTGAATTTAGAGATCATCTAAAGAATAGATTTGATGCATTGAACACCAATGACCGAAAACCAGAAGAATTGTGGGGGGATATCAAGAACATTATCCATGAAGAAAGCAAGAGATCACTAAAAAGACGAGAAAGGAAGAGAAGACCAAAATGGATGAGAGAAGAGACTCTGAAACTTGCCCTTGAGCTTGAGAGTAGCTAAAGCCAATGGAAGAAATGACAAGATAAAAGAGCTGAACAGAAGATTTCAAAGAGCAGCTCGAGCAGACAAAACCAATTACTATAATGAAATGTGCAAAGACCTGAAGTTTGAAAACCAAAAGGGAAGAACACGCTCAGCATTTCTCAAGCTGAAGGAACTGAAGAAAAATTTAAGCCTCGAGTTGCAATATTGAGAGATTCTATGGGCAAAATATTGAATGATGCAGGAAACATCAAGAGAAGATGGCAGAATACACAGAGTCACTGTACCAAAAAGAACTGGTCGATCTTCATCCATTTCAGGAAGTGGCATATGATCTAGAACCAATGGTACTGAAGGAGGAAGTCAAAGCTGCAATGAAGGAATTGGTGAAGAACAAGGCTCCGGGAATTGACTGAATACCCACTGAGATATTTCAACAAATGGATGCCCCATTGGAGGCATTCACTTGGTTATGCCAAGAGATTTGGAAGACAGCTACCTGGCCAACTCACTGGAAGTGATCCATATCTGTACTCATTCCAAAGAAAGGTGACATAGATTGTGGAAATCATAGAACAATATCATTAATATCACATGCAAGTAAGATCTTACTGAAGATAATTCAGAAACGTTTGCAGCAGTATATTGACAGAGAACTTCCAGAGGTGCAAGCTGGATTCAGAAGAGGATGTGGAACAAGGGATATCATAGCTGTTGTCAGATTGATTTTGGCTCAAGGCAAAGAATACCAGAAAGATGTTTACTTGTGTTTTATTGACTATGCAAAGGCATTTAATTGTGTGCATCATGACAAACTATGGATAACATTGAGAAGAATGGGAATTCCCAAACACTTGATTGTACTCATGAAGAACCTGTACCTTGACCAGGAGGCTTGTTTGAACGGAACAAGGGGACACTACATGGTTTAAAATCAGGAAGGGAGTGCATCAGGGTTGTATCCTTTCCCCATACTTATTCAATCTATATGCTGAGCAAATAATCCGAGAAGCTGGACTATATGAAGAAAAACGTGGCATCTGGATTGGAGGAAGAATCATTAACAACCTGAGATATGCAGAGGATACAACTTTGCTTGCTGAAAGCGAGGATGGCTTGAGGCACTTACTGATGAAGGTTAAAGAATACAGTCTGCAGTATGGATTATCTCTCAATATAAAGAAAACAAAAATCCTCACAACTGGACCAATGAGCAGCACCACAATAAATGGAGAGAAGATTGAAGTTGTCAAAGAATTTATGTTGCTTGGTTCTACAATCGATGCCAATGGAAACAGCAGTCAGGACATTAGACGATGTGTAGCACTGGGAAAGTCAACCACAAAAAAACTGTTTCAAGTGCTGAGGAGCAAGGACGTCTCCTTGAGGACTAAGGCGCACCTGACACAAGCAATGGTATTTCCAATCGCCTCGTACGCATGTGAGAGCTGGACAATGAATAAGGAAGACCAAAGAAGAGTTGATGCTTTTGAGTTGTGGTGCTGGTAAAGAATGCTGAAAGTACCATGGACTGGTAAAAGAACTAACAGATCTGTCCTGGAGGAAGTGCGGCCGAGATGCTCCTTGGAAGCAAGAATGGCCAGACTTCGTCTCACCTATTTTGGTCATGTTGTCAGAAGGGACCATTCCCTGGAGAAGGATGTCATGCTTGGTAAGGTGGAGGGTCGACGAAAGAGGGGAAGGCCTTCAATGACATGGATTGACATGGTGGCTGCGATGATGGGCTCAAGTATAGCAGGGATCGTGGAGATGGAGCAGGATTGGGCAGTGTTTCGTTCTGCTGTGCATGGGGTCGCTAGAGTCGGAAATGACTCAACGTCACCTAACAACAACAAGTGCTAATCATTACCTTATTTTCATCCCCATCAATTAGGCATTTTGGGATAGAAGCTACTTATGACTAGGTTAAGAAGTACCTTTCAGGGTCCAAGTTATGCCCCATATTCAACAAGTGGTGGCCAAGTGTCTTACTTTTGCCACAAATAATCCCAAACTACAGAATGAAGCACTTAGTTTATGGAAAGCTGCAGTCTGCGATGGGAGCCCTAACTCCATGTTGAGTCTAGACGTAAGTTTAGACGCCATTTGAGTTCTTTCTGACTTATAAACCAACAATGTGGCTATGCTTAGACTAGTTCAGGACAAACCTGAGGTGGGAGGGGGCAGTCTGCCCTCAGAAAGAGTGTGGTTGAAAGTTACGCTCACACAAAGAACTTGCCTGAGTATGTCCTTATTTAATTGATATTAAGGTTATATATTCCAAGGGTCTTGGAATTGTCTAGTAGTCACTTTGTGAGGTCATTATCTGGACCACCATGTAGCCCGGTGGTCAAGACCCAGAACCAATACTGTAACCCTTTTTAATCTTCAATTATGTACAAATCCCAATCATGGACCTTTCTCTGCTTCTGTAGTCCCATCTGTGACAGTGATGAATTGACTGCCACCAATCATGACTTTGTGACGATTTCCCGTTTTCAATCATATATAAGTGATCCCCTGGCTGTGACTCAGTGACTCCATTCAGCCTTCTGTACACTGTCTGTGCTGACGGTTTCCCTCACCCTGGATGATGGTCCTTATTCTATGTACAGTTCACTGAAAGTGTCTCTACTGAACCTGCTCTAATCTGGGGTCTCTTCTTCCCCTACCACAGGAACCAGGTGTTCCCAATATTCTGCCCAAAATCTAAAGAAGGCTCAAGACTGGGGAGCTACAGCATGCTCTAATGGATAGAGGCACACCCCAAGGGCAAAGTGTTGATTCCTGATTCCTGAAGAGTAGGTAAGATACCATTTTTCATCCCCATTGAATTATGCATTTTGGGATAGAAGCTACTTATGACTAGGTTAAGAAGCACCTTTTAGGGTCCAAGTTGTGCCCCATATTCAACAAGTGGTAGCCAAGCATCTTACTTGTGCCATGAATAATCGCAAACTACAGAAAGTTAAAGCTGCTGCACCCCAGGCAGAAGTGCTGCCAGGAAGAAACTAGAAAACAGACTTTGCTAAATTAATACGAACAAAAAACCCAAACTCACTGTTAGTGATCGAGTCGATTACAACTCACAGCGACCTCCACCTATTGGGTTTCCAAGGCTGTAAATCTTTATGGAAGCAGACTGCCTCACCTTTCTTCCATGGAGCCACTGGAGGGGGATGGCGTTTGAACCACTGACCTTTTGGTTAGCAGCCAAATGTTTTAACCAGTATACCACCAGAGCTCCTTAATACAAACAAAAGGAAGACTTAAATTTTTATCAGTATTGTTAAGGCATTTGTACTAAAGACTGAGACTTCTCCCTGCTGAACTATGAAGGCCCAGGAAGTTATTAAGTTCTTGCTGAAAGAAATTTTCCCAAGATTTGGGCTCCCTGGAGCCACTGGAAGTGAAAATGGATCTCATTTGATCTCCCACATAACCCAAGGTGTTTCAGAAGCCCCCAGTCAACTGGGAGAGTGGAACGAATGAATCAGACTCTTGAAAGGCATTTGGCCAAATTGTGCCAGGAGACCCCACGACTGTGGGGAGAAACATTCCCCTTAGTCCTTCTGAGAGTGAGACTAGCCCCCAAGGGAACTACAAAATTAGTCCATTTGAGCTGATGTACGGAGATCTTTCTTTCTAAAGCCCAGAATGGGACATGACCTTAATCAAATTGGTATTCTATCCACATCTTAATATCTGGCAGGACTTTACACCACCCAGTCTTGCCTCCACAGCTGTTTGGAGCCAACAACATTTTTCCTACAAGGCATCTGCTCACTCACACCTCTGAACAGGAGGTCGCCCAATGTGAAGTAAGATCACTCCAGGAGGAAGCTCAGTTCGTGTCCAAGAGAACTGACTGATGCTTCACAGGGGAGACTGTGAGGAGAAAGATCTTTGCTTTGTCAGGCCTGACTTCATTAGTAGAGTCAGACTCCATCTTTTTAACTAAGATGCCGTTTCTTTCTAACGTGGCTTCAACCTGGTGTTATAATTAACTCGTTCTCTCTCTCAGACACAGTGCTCAGTTCCTGCTGCACCCTGTGACCTAAGCCAGAGCCATCTGTGTCAATAAAGGCCCCAGGGCCAGATTTTAGGATCAGCCACCAAGCAGGGGTGTGGATGGAGCCTCTTCAGGATTCCCTGACTGCTGGGGACTCCCAGGAAACATTCCTTTCTTAATTACCCATTGTCCTACCTCACTACAGGAGAACTATTCACTAATCCTGTCTCTCAGCTGTGTCTCCTTTTCCTTTAATATGTTGTTGTTGTTGTTATGTGCCGTTGAGTCGCCCTGACTCATAGGAGTTGCCCTGACTCATAGCGACCCCTCCTTGGGTTTCCGAGGTAGTATCACTACAGAAGTAGATTGCCCAACCTTCCTTCCGAGGAGTGGCTGGTGGGTTTGAACCGCCAGCCGTCTGGTTAGCAGGCAAGTGTCTTAGCCACTATGCTACCAGAGCTCCCTTCCTTTAATATAAGAGTCTCTTATTGTAAGTGCTGAGCAGAGCAGGTGTTTTTTGGAGTCACTGAGACCCAGCCATCTCTTGTTGGTGCACCTCCTAATTAAACTCTCTTTTCCATGAACTCTGGTGTGGACAACTGGCTGTGCCCCTCCAGGGCCAGACCCTGGCATTTTTCAAGTAACAGCCCTGAGGTAGTATTATTGGCCTCTTAGCACTAGGCAAGAAAGGAAAAATTCCCACTTGCAGTTCATCTTTTTTTTTTTTTTTTAAATGCTAGCCCAGAGAGGTATAAAATTTTTTACTTAACTGGTCAAGTCTCAAACTTGGGTTTGAGCATTGGTGGCAAAACAACAAAACAAAACAAAACAAAAACCCTTTCTTTCTCAAAGTCTGGCCTGGTATTGGGGTTTGGAGCCAAAGGCTCAGTTGATAATTCAAAAGTACTTTGCTGGCTAACTTGCTCCTGACACGTGGTCGAGACCAGGTCTTGGGGCTGAAAGTCATTACCATCTCAATTTTATCTCAACACCACCTTTACTAATAAAAAATAAATAAATAAATAAATAAATAAATAAAACTAAAACTCACAGCAGTCGAGCGACTCCTCCTTGAGTTTCTGAGGTGGTGATCTTTATGGAAGTAGATTGCTCAGTCTTCCTTCTGAGGAGTGGCTGGTGGGTTTGAACCGCCAGCCTTCTAGTTAGCAGTCAAATGCCTTAGGTACTATGCCACCAGAGCTTCTCTACTAACAAGTGAATTTAAATTCAGTTTGAGCCTACTATATTCTAAGGCAGGAGCTCTGGTAGCACAGTGCCTAAGGTACTTGACTGCTAACCAGAAGGTGGTTCAAACCCACCAGCCACTCCTTGGAAGGAAGATGGAGCAATCTACTTCCGTAGTGATACTGCCTTGGAAACCCAAGGAAGGGTGGCTATGAGTTGGATCCGACTCAAGAGCAGTGAGTTTTTTTTTTTTTTCATATACAGTCCTAAGCAAGAGAAGATGGTTTTCAAGTGTTGTTTTAATAACATTATTTATAAACAATAGAGCCTTCCTCATGCCACTTTACATATGCCCCAGGGCATCACATTCGGATTTAATACATTTAAAATTTCTCTTTTCTTAATGTAATCTAATGTAAATCTCAAGAGAAAAAGGCAAGAAAGGCCCTTACACAAAAAAACAAACTCGCTGCCACGGAGTAGATTTCGACTCATAGAGACCGCCGTTGGGTTTCTAAGGCTGTAAATCTTTACAGAAGAAGACTGGCCCATTTTCTTCCACTGAGTGGCTTGTGTGTTGAAACCACTGACTCTTTGGTTAGCAGCCAAATGCTTTAACCACTACACCACCAGAGCTCCTTTTTTTAAAGGCTGTCACTAATACTCTTCTTAGTGCCTTTGTTTTGTTGCTTTATCAATATTAAGGAACATTTCAAAAGACCCGATGGATACTTCTTGTTTTAGCACTTAATGTCAAGTTGAAACCATATTACATTCTCCAAGAAAACTAGTTTGTCCATAAGGCTTTCATTTCTTTCTCTACCAGGAGAATTTTTTTAAAATATAATTCTATTAATTTTGTTGTTGCTGTTAAGAATATACATAGCCTTTGTTGGTTGCCAGGGGTGGGAGGGGAGGGGAGGGAACACTGGAAAAAAAAATACATTGACCCATGTCACTTCAGTTTTGTGTATTTCACTGTACATAAATTATATTTCAATAAAATGCATTATACACAAATCATGGGGAAAAAAAGAATATTCATAGCAAACCACCACCAGTTCAACTGTTTGCACAGATAACATTCAGTGGCGCTGATTATACTCTGAGTCGGGTAGCTACTCTCACCCTCCTTTTCTGAGTTGCTCCTTCCCCATTAACATGAATTCACTACCCCTTGAGCTCTGGTGGCGTAGTGCCTAAGGCACTTGACTGCTAACCGTAAGGCTGGCAGTTCAAACCCATCAGCCACTCCTCAGAAGGAAGGTTGGGCAATCCTACTTCTAGTGATACTGCCTCGGAAACCCAAGGAGGGGTCTCTATGAGTCGGAGCTGACTCAATGGCAAACAACAACATATAGTTTCCAAAGGTATTCTCCTCATTGGTGGCTTGTCTTTTGACTTTTTTTGGTAAAGTCTTTTGATGAACAAAAGTTTTTAATTTTTATGAGGTCCCATTTCTTTATTTTGTCTTTTGCTGCTTGTACTTTTGTAATTATATTATATAATCCATTGTTGAAAGCTAGGCCTGACAGTGTTGCCCCTGCTTATTCTAAGAATTTTATGGTTTTAGTTTGCACATTTAGGTCATTAATTTTTTTTTTTTTAAATTTGTTTTTGTGTTTGGTATAAGGCATGGATCTTGTTTCATTTTTCTTCATTTATTGAAGAGACTCTTCTCTCCCTCACTGAATGGACTTAACACCCTCATCAAAAAAAAGTTGACTGTAGATGTGTAGGTTTATTTCTGGACTCGTAATTCTATTCCATTGGTCTGTGTATCTATTGTTATACCAGTACCAGGCTGTTTTGATTGCTGTAGATGCTGTATAGTATATTTAAAAATCAGGAAGTGTATGTGTCCTCCTATTGTATTCTTCTGTTCAACACTACTTTAGCTATTCCATATGAAATTGAGGAATGGTTTTTCTTTATCTATGCTGTAGGAATTTTGATTGGGATTGTGTTGAATCTACAAATCATTTTGGGTAGTACTGAAATATTAACAATATTAAATCTTCCAACCATGAACATGGAACATCTTTCCATTTATGTAAGTCTATCTCTGTCAGCTGTTTTATACATTTCATTGTGTAAGTCCTTCATGTCCCTGGTTAGACTTATTCCTTAGGAGCTCTGGGGGCACAATGCCTAAGGCATTTGACTGCTAACTAGAAGGCTGGCAGTTGAAACCTACCAGCCACCCTGTGGAAGGAAGATGGGGCAATCTCCTTCCATAAAGATACATCACCTTGGAAACCCAAAGGGAGTTGTTATGAGTCAGAATCGACTGGATGGCAGTGAGTTTGGTTTGTTTTCTTGAGTTTATTCTCTTAGATGGTATTGTAAATAAACTGTTGCCCTATTTTCTCCTTCAGATTTCTCATTGCTGGTGTATAGCAACCCAACTGAGTTTTGTTTGTTGACCTTGTCCTTGCAACTTCGCTAATTTCCTCTCTTAGCTCTAGGAGCTTTCTTGTGGCCTCCAGGGTTTTCTATATATAGAATCATACCATCTGCACAGAGAGATGATTTTCTTTCTTTTTTATCCAATCTGGATACCTCTTATTTCGTTTTCTTGCCTTATTGCTAGGGCTAGGACTTTTAATGTAATATTGAATAGAAGTGATGAAAGCAAGTACCCTTGTCTTGTTCCCAATTTCAAGGGGAAAACTCTCAGTCTTTCTCCATTAAGAATAATGTTGGGAGAGGTGGTTAAGTTTGTGTGCCAACTTGGTTAGGCCTGGTTGAGTGGCTGGGCAGCTGGTGCTAATTATTCCCCATGATGAGACCAGCAATCCACTCTGGTGGGATCTACCACAAGCAGCTGAGTAGCTGCTTTGGGTATGTGGTCTGCATATAAGCAGCAGCTTTGGGAATGGTCTCTAGCTCATGGCATGCTTGAACCTTGCATGTAGCTGCGTGTTGTTCAGCAGCCTGCCGTGCTCTGCCAACCTTCGGACTTTCAATGGACTTGAGTTAATGGTCTCCCATGTGGTTTGGTAACATTGGAACTGTGCCATTTTGTCAACCTTGGACTTGGTAGCCTCAGCAGCTGGTAGTGCCTGAGTGAAGAGATGTCTCTAGATTCAGTGGGCTGGGAGCAAGAGGCAGAGCTGAAGCCAAAGGTCAAGGGACTTTCACCCAGCCCCTAGAGCCTGGCACTTTGAACTTGGACTTGTAGCCTCCCAAAGTGTAAGAGAATAAACTCCTGTTTGTTCAAGCCATCCATCTGTGGTATATTCCTGTCAGAGCAGCACTAGGTAACCAGAACATTGGGTGCTGGCCTTTCATATATGTACTGGATCATATGGAGGAATTTACTTCTATTCCAATTTTTCTTTAGGGTTTTCATCAAGGAAGGGAGTTGGATTTAATCAAATGAGTTTTCTGCATCCATAGAGATGACATGTGGTTCTCTTCCTTTGTTCTACTGATGTGCTGTATTATGTTGCATGATTTTCTAATGTTGAACTATCCCTGCATTCCTGGAATAAATCCTACTTGGTCATGGTGTATGAGTCTTTTAACATGGTGCTGGACTGTTTGCTAGTATTTTGGTGAGGATTTTTATACCTATATTCAGAAGTGATAATGGCCTGTGGTTTTCTTTTCTTGTGTCTTTGTCTGGTTTTGGTATCAGGGTTATATTTGCTTCAAAGGCTGAATAAGGAGTATTTCTTCCTTCTCTGTCTTTTGGAAGAGTGTAAACAATATTGGTGTCAGCTTTTCTCTAAATGTTTGGCAGAATTCCCCAGTGATGCCATCTGGTCCAGGACTTTTTTTTTTTTTTTGATCACTGATTCAATCTCTTCACTTGCTATGGTTCTGTTGAGCCTTTCTATTTCCTCTTGAGCCAGTACGCATAGGTTGTGTGCTTCTAAGAATTCCACGTCACACAGATTATCCAGTTTGTTGCCACACAGTTTTTCATAATATCCTGTCATAATTCTCTATTTCGATTGGGTTAGTTGTGACATCCCTGTTTTCATTTTTCACTCTGGTTATTTGCATCTTTTCTCCTTTTTTTTTTTTGTCAGTCTAGCTAAAGGTTTGTCAACTTTGTTGATCTTTCTAAAGAACCAATTTCCAGTGTGATTAATTCTCTGAAGTGTTTTTCTGTTTTCAATTTTATTTATTTATGCTTTGAATCTTTATTTCCTTTCTCTGATAGGTTTAGGCTTAGTTTGCTCTCTTCTTTCTAGTTTTTGGAGTCGTCAAGTTAGGCTGTGAACCTGAGATCTTTCTTCTTTTCTCATGTAGGCATTAACTGCTCGAAGCTTCCCTGTGAGTGCAGCCTTTGCTGCAGCCTGTAACTTTGGGTATACGATGCTTTCATTTTCATTTGATTCTAGTGATGCCTCTTGATTTCTTCCTTGACCCATTGGTAGTTTCATAGTGTGTTGTTTAATTTCCATATATTTGTGTATTTTCTAGGTTTTATTTCTGTTATTGATTTGTAGATGCACTCCATTGTGGTCATAGAAAATACTCTGTATCATTCCAATCTTTTTAAATCTATCAAGACTTCCTTTGTGACCTAAAATGTGGTCTATCCTGGAGAAGTAACAGAATTTGATAGTAGTTTTTAGCGGTAGAGTCAAAATTTCCAAGTATTGGTGGTAATGCATGAAATGATTAGTCATAACCCACATAACTATTTACTTTGGTAAACAGCCTGTGATCTTTTACATTCTGTCAAACATATCCACCGTGAAAGAACATAAGAACATATAGAACTTTGCTGGTAACATTTTGAGAGTTCCCGAGGAGGCATATGCTGCATTACGCTGTACTTACTGCTATGGCAATCTGAAGTCCAATGTGACTCAGAAGTAGGATAACATCATGGCTGCACCTTCAAATACAGTGAAACCTGTGAGAGCTAGAGCTCGCGGGGACTGCCTTGTTTTAATGGATTTTGTAATTTCCCACCTTTGACAGGGTGCAGTCTTACCACTTCTCTATTGATGTCTATGAGTGGAAAATATTTAAGTTTTCCTTCTCTGCCAGGTTTCCACCTTACACAGGTTCTAGCTTTCACAGATTTTACCTTCTATTAATACTGTGCACAGAAATGATGATCTAAACACCACTTACTGTCTGCTGTCATTGAACAATGAAAACATCATTGAGATTCTATTGTTTGAAGTGATGGTGTCTTTCCCTTATTGTTATATTCCTCCCAGAAAAAAAGCCAATGTTTGTGAATAAAAAGAACATGCTTTTGTTTTACAATTCCATGGATTTTTCCCTTGCTTTCTCATACTGTGTTCCCCCAAATTTACTGATATTTCCTAAAGGAAGATGCTTGTCCCACTGAGATAAACTGTCTAGATTCTTGTTCTCTAGAATTTGTCACGCTGAGGGGATAAGACACTGATTTTGGTAGACAGCAGGGATGGCAAATTGATTCGGGGCTAAACTGTGATAGCGAAATAAGGACTGCAGACAGTGACTGGGAGAGGCAGGGACTGGGCTGGTCAGAAACTTTCTGTTATCAGTCAGAGCTCTGAGACAGGTGTAGAAGTGGAGAACGGTGGCAGACCTGTCACGTTCACTGCAAGAACTTTATCTTAGGAGGGAAAATGGGGTTTTTGTATATTCACTAATGTTATCGAGTCAAATTAGAGACTTTGAGTCAATAGGAAAAGTTGGTTCCTTATGGATCTGTCTATATGGAAAAATAAGGACGGTGATCCGTAAGAAGCCATAGCTGGTAGTTTTCCCCAAGATATGCCCAGAATTAAAGTTTCACAAACACTGGAAATAATGCAACCTGGTGGCAAACTTATTGACTCAGTGATGACCTTGTTTCATTGTTCTGTATTATAATACAGATGGAAAGAATTGCCTAATTCTGATTAGAATGGTCCTATCTCATATATACCAGAAGATGCAATTTAAGTCCTAAGAAATTCAAGCACTGGTCTTACATGTTGTTGTTGTTGTTGTTATGTGTCGAGTTGTTGTTATGTGTCGAGTTGGACCCAACTCATAGTGACCCTTTCTTGGGTTTCTGAGGCAGTATCACTACGGAAGTAGATTGCCCCATCTTCCTTCCGAGGAGTGACTGGTGGGTTTGAACCGCCAGCCTCCTGGTTAGCAGTCAAGTGCTTTAGGCACTATGCTACCAGAGCTCCTAGTCTTACATAGACACATGCCATAATTTTTTAAAAAACTGTTAATGAAATCTATGAGGTTAGGTTACAGATAGAAATCTGGACATCAGTGGTGAGTCTTGAATCACAGTCACAATAATCAACTTTTTCACTTTTTCTTCAGGGCTGTGAATTTTTTTTTTTTTTTAACTTCTAATAGTAAATTTATTCCAATGTTGTTACTGTAGACATTTAAACTAAAGGAGAAATGACCAACTTCTAGTTGTTTCTTGACTTTTGGTTAAGTTCAGGAAAATTCTAATAAATTCAATCCGTTTCCTGATAGGAACACCATGAATGTTACTTATGACACCTAAATCCACCCTTTACATTAATCGTTCAAGTGCTGTACACTGATTCATGTATTTAGTGAATTAAGAAACACTGAAGAACCAGAGCTCAACAAACACACAGACAGACAGACAGTTCCTGCCCTCACGAGGTCACAGTCTAGATGAATCAGTTGGAGTTAATTACAGGCAAGGATGAGTTTCACAAAGGTGATGACACTTGAACTGACCTGAAACATGAAAGAGCAGAAACTGGCTTTGACAACGAGGAACAGGAGATAGGGTGTCTCGAGGACTGACTTACGTAGCATTTTCTAAGCAGCAACGCAGGGAAAACCCAACTTATGACGTATTTGAGTTATGGCCGACTGCAGTTAATGACCATTTTTTATTTTATTTTTTACTTAGCATCTTATTGTTAGTATTATGTACTATATATGATGTTGCAGTGTATAATTTGCTGATGTTATTATTATCTGTAAGTTTATATGTAATGTTTTCAACCCCCAAACACAATAACCAAAACCAAAAACCAAATGCACTGCCATCAAGTCAGATCCGACTCACAGCGATTCCTCCTTGGGTTTCCAAGGCAGTATCACTATGGAAGTAGATTGCCCAACCTTCCTCCTGAGGAGTACCTGGTGGGTTTGAACTGCCAGTCTTCTGGTTAGCAGCCAAATGCCTTAGGCACTACACCACCAGAGCTCCTGAAGACAGTAAAGACTGGATTTATAAAGATGCTAATAATAAAAGGCAATAATGATAAAACCTTAAAAAAAAAAGAGAGAGAGATATTCAACTTAAGTCAGAACAGACTTAAGAAGAAATCACTGGAATGGTATGGAACCCTGGGGTAAGTTGGAGATGACCTGGATTTAAGTATGTAGACTAGTTTTAGACTTAATTAAGAAGTAAATATTCTTTAAGAAGAATAGGAGTTAAGTTCTCTGATTGTCATATTCAATACAAATTAAGACATTTTATGAAAGAAGTATTAGCTTTATGAGCAATATGGTGTTAATAATACATTAAAGTTCCTTTTTAAGAACCTGTTCACACTTTTCTCCACACATTCTACTAACTCTGTATGTTGTCTTCTACTTCCTACTGGGTAATAAGAAACCCTGGTGTTGCG